TCACCACCTCTGTCTGAGTGCAGACGCAATACGGGAAGGTCCGTGCCGAAACTCTCGCTGAGCTGGCGACGGGCACCGCGGATCCAGTCGATCAACACCTCAGTGACCTCACCCTTGCGGCGCAAGGGGAAGACTGTGGCGTAACGCGAGTAGTCGTCAACGACCAGCAGGAAGTAACGCTCATGACCCTGTCCACTGACGCGGGCTAGGCCCCACACGTCCATGTGGAGAGTCTGCAGGGGAGCCTCTGTCGGAGGGAACTCGGAGGAGTGAGGAGCGGCGCGTTGCCGGCCCTCGACACAAGGAACACAGGTAGGGGCAGGCCCCGGAGGAAGGGGAGGGAGGGACCTGGGGAGACCAGAGACAAGGGTACGGGAGGCCATACCTCGAAGACGAGGCAGGGAGGGGTGACCAAGGCGGTGGTGCCAAAGGAGAGTCTCGTGTGACAGAGGACGACACGAGCAAGGGGCAGACGCGGGACTAGACCTGGACGCGGCAGCAAACACCTGACTAGACGCGGCTACCTGACCAGACGCAGAGACCGGAGGAGACGCAGTAGTCAGTGTGTACAGACTCGACCCAGGCCGACGGGTGAACGTGGCCAGGTGGCGGCCCGTCCGAGAGCAAGTGCAGTGGGTCACACGCTGACCTCCAGGGGTGAACTGGTCAACCCACAAGTCCTGAAGGTCAGCTCCACTCACCAAGTTCGTAGAGAACGAGGGGAGGTGGAGTCCCGACAGCAAGCCCGACGGGGCCGCACGACACGGTAGAACCGTGGAAGAGTGCGCAAGGACTGGGCCCCCAGAGGGGTCAGCCAGGGAGACTGCGATAGGCCGACTGAGCGGCGTGAGTGTGGTGCTGTCGCGAAAGAAGGAGCGCGAAGCACCAGAGTCAAGTGTGAAAGTGTGTAAGGCCTCAGTAGGTGCAGTACCAGAGAGAGCAGACTCACCAGCACCTGGAGCAGCAGACTCACCAGTACCTGGAGCAGCAGACGCACTAGCACCTAGAGCAGCAGCCTCAATGCTCGGGTCGGGCGGAACACACAGGTAATAGTCACCCTCAGCACTATCAGTCGCAGCATACATGGCAGCAAGGATAGCATCGAAATCAAGATCAAAGATAGCAACATTCTGCTTAAGCAGATCACCCCAGCGAGGGAGCTCATCAACGTCAGGAAACTGGGCGCGCCAGGCGTCAGTCAGGCGACCGAAGCAGCGCTGCGCAGTGTTTGGCAGCCCGCACGTCTCCCCACGGTGCCCGCCGGTGCGAAGAACGTAAGTGCAGGGACCAGCACCCCCATACCTCCCACGCCCAGCGTACCACTCACGAAGCTGCTGGGCCAACGGGGTCTCACGGGAACACGGCTGCTGCTGGCGCTGGCTACCACCAAAGCCTCCACGCTGCGCGGCTCCACCTCGACCAGCTCCACTGCCGCCGCCACCTCCACCACCGCTGCCGCTGCCTCCACCGCCGCTGCCGCTGCCTCCACCACCCCCACCGCCGCCACCGAAGCCCCCACTCCCGCCACCACCCCCACCTCCACTGCCACCCCCTCCGCCTCCTCCACCGCCTCCACCGCCGCTCCCACCGTCCCCTCCACCACCCTTGCCCCCTTTGCCCTTGCAGTTGCGGCGCCTCCCACTAGGAGCAGACGCAGCCCCGACCTCCGCGCCAACGAGGTCGACAGCAGCAGCAGAAGCAACAAAGGGGAGAAGGGGGACAGGGGAACACCCCTCAAATAAAGGGGCGCGAGGGTCGCCGCGAGAAGCACCTACAGCAACGATACCCTTCTCAGCTGCAGTGAGGCGCTCCTCAAGCAGGTCGACGACGAGCTCGGTGGGGCAAAGGGAGAGAAAGTGGTCCCTGACTGAAGCAAGGGAGTCAGGGAGGCGGGTGACTAGGTAGTAAATGGTGATGTACATGGGGGGAGGGTTCTTGGCACAGAACTCAGTGGGAAGCGCAGCGCGGTAGCGGGCGTCACTAGTGCGGAGGTGAGTAATGAGGTCAGCGACTGTGGCAAAGGCGGCAAGGTCAGGGAACAGGTACGGCAGCATGAGGCGGCTGAGGGCAGCAGTGGCAGGGGAGGAGTAGCGCGCTACGACAGCGTCATACAAAGACTTAGCAGTCTTGTACTGGCCTAAGTGCGCATGCTCAGAAGACGGCATGTGACTACAAACAGCAAGGCGAGCAACAGCGTCACGAGTGGTCCACTGCGAGCGAACCGTACTGTCAGCAGTGGCAGCAGGTGCAGGAGAGACACCGGACGTGTGATCGAAAAGGGATACTCCGTCCTTAGAGTCACACTGAAGAAAGAGCTGCAGGTCGTCAACCCACACGTCAAAGTCAACCGCACGCCCCTCAGCATCAAAGGTAAGAACATTAGGGCTAGCCATAGCGGCAGTAGCAGCAGTAGCAGCAGTAGCAGCAGTGGCAGCAGAAACAGCAGTAGCAGCAAGAGCAGCGCGGGCAGGGCAGTGCGGCTCAGTAGGGCGGCGCGGCTCGGCAGGGCGGCGCGGCTCGGTAGGGCGGCGCGGCTCGGCTGGGCGGCGCGGCTCGGCTCCTGGCGGCGCAGCGCGGCAGGGCGGCGCGGCTCGGAGGAGCGTCGCGGCTCGGCTGGGCGGTGCGGGTGCTTACCAGGGGCGGGTGCAGGGCCGCGACTGGGGCGGCAGCAGGGCAGGGCCGCCACTTGGCGGCATCAGCGCAGGGCCGCGACAGGGCGGCAGCAGGGCAGGGCCGCGACAGGGGCGGCAGCAGGGTAGGGCCGCCACTTGGCGGCGTCAGCGCAGGGCCGCGACAGGGCGGTAGTAGGGCAGGGCCGCGACAGGGCGGCAGCAGGGCAGGGCCGCGGCTGGACGGCAGGGTAGGCAGGGCCGCTACGGGCCGTTAGGGCAGGGCCCCGACGAGTAGCGGCAGGGCAGAGGCCGCGGGTGGCGGCAGGGCAGTGCCGCGACGGGCCGAGAGGGCAGGGGGGGGGTCGCGACGGGCCGAGAAGGCAAGGGGCCGCGACGGGCCGTTAGGGTAGGGGGTCGCGACGGGCCGAGAAGGCAGGGGGCCGCGACGGGCCGTTAGGGTAGGGCCGCGACGGGCCGAGAAGGCAGGGCCGCGACGGGCGGCTCTAGGGCAGGGCGCGCGACGGCTCAGATGAGGCACGCGCGAGGCGCGCTTCGGGCAGGGCAGGAAAAAAAATCGTGGTGGGCCCTAAAAAAAACGTTCCCACGAGGGAACCTGCTCAGAATACCATGTCATAATAGTGAAGAAAGGAATGACTGAATTAGCAAGCAAGTGGGTACAAGTAGGAAACCTAAAAGTGTTGTACCCTATATGAACTACCCCATTATAGCCTAGACAGACTATAGGATATATGTTTGACACTTGTGCCTACTTTGCCTCACTTACTCATTGCTTGACTTTGCTTGTACTGTGACCTATATATATACCTGCATGCTTGCACTTGCTAGGGTATGATCACTGTATTGTTTGTTCTCTTTTATATAACTCTGCATGTGAACTGGCCTTGTGGCCCTTTGTTTGTGCTCGAACTGTGTGGTGACTTTGTGATCCACCCTGAGCTTGCTTTGCTTTTCTTGACTGGTCTTGTGACCACTTGTTCTCCCCCACTTTGCCTACGGGGATGTGTCAGAATGTTATAGTGCTTACAATTGTGTAGGCTATAGTAGGGTAGCCCATAAGGGGTACAACCCAATTAGGGTTAGTACTTGTACCCAACTTCTGTTTAATGCATTCGTTCTCGTTCATTCTTCTGACAGACCTTACAGTACCCATGAACCCGAATCCCGACAACCCAGTACCACGTGTGCAACAGTTTGCAGGAATATTACAAGCAGCACGAACCAGGGCAGCCGAGGCAATAAAAAAGGCCAACGTCATCGCTAAGCGCAACGCTGACCGACACCGCAGACCTGTCACTTACCAGCCCGACGACCTAGTTTTACTTGACACTAAAAACCTCCGCCTGCCCATAACCCCGAAACTCCGCCCCCGATATTGCGGGCCATTCCGCATCAGCCACATGATCACACCTGTCACCGCCCACCTCCTCCTCCCTGCTGACTGGTACGTCAGCCCGTCATTCCACGTCAGCCTGCTTCGCCCTTACATCCCATCCACCAGCCAACTGGCCCGCAACCGCCCAGCCAGCATGACACGACCGCCGACAGAACCAGTCATCACGCCCGAAAAGATTCTGAGCCACCGAGTTCTTGACCCACAGGGAGCTCGAAGAGTCGAATTTCTAATCCGCTGGAAAGACCGCACGCCCACCGATGATAATTGGGTCCCCCTGGACAGAATTGAAAACCACCCCGTCCTCACCGAGTACCTGCGCAGCCGGAATTTTCGGGATGTACACGCGCTTTCGTAAAGAAGGGCCTCCTTAGGGGGAGGGGGGTAGTGTAAGGAAAAATTCATTTTCCTTACTTCGCATCCCTGCTCAGCGTGTACGCTACTGTTCCCGCCAACAGCACCCCACAATAATCAGTTACCACTCGCGACATTCGCCTCGACCCCATTCTCGCCACTGTTCACGAGGCGACCCAACCTCACGGTTCTGCTGGTAACCCGTGCTCCGGACCTCCGCCTCGACAATCCCCAACCTCGGTACCAGGTCCGTCGCGCACCCCAGTTTTCCACACGTTACCGTTACCACTGTAGCTTCGCTATATATTCTTCGCTCAATCATTCGCTCATTGTATCTTGTCTCGATAGTGCAATCCTCGCTCTCTCACTCAATCACATGCACCTGACGGCAAGGTGCTTGTCGCAAGGCCACTGGTGTTCGACGCATAGTGTAGATTGAGAAAATGCAGAGGTAAAGAGGAAACTACCTCGCCATTTTGTTTTCAGCTTCTTCTAAGCGTGACTCCCCGTTCCTTGTTGCGAATGACTGTTTTGCTAAGAGTTAAGAATATTTCCCTGCTTTAGCACACCCAGGACCGTGTGATTTTAGAGTCCACGCCAATTCTCCAGCCCTACGTGAAGCCATGTCGTTGAAAGCTCTTCATGCCAGTCAGCTTTTTGCAACTCTGTCAACCCTCGCGTTCGCAATCATCCTGCAGAGTTCCGAAGCCGCTACCGATGGTACGAAAGCGCGAACTCGCCCTTTGTCTACCCAAATGGAGCATTATTTGTCGTTTAAAAAAATATAGCACCTTCTAAAGAAGGTCGTCACTTTCTAGTGTTAGCTTCGTCCATGTTGATCCACATTCTTCGCACTTACATCCTGTCTTCACGTATTGTCAGGCCCACGGAGTCGTAGTGGCATGTATGAGAAGGTTCTGGAACCCACCCTGGACACAGTCCACATGGAAGGTGCGTGTCACTTACCTTATTTTTTTTTCTGGTGATTTTGTCTGCCGTTTCTGCTTTCTGCACTCATTTTTGCCTGCAATCGACGTTTCTCCTCACTGGCTTCGTAATGTTTTCCTGCTCGTTTTCAGACCTGCCCGGATTTACTCGCAGTGTGGTGGCAAGGGACCACGCCCTGATCACACCGGAAAGCCGAGTTTTTAGCCCACTGCCCGGATGGTGAGTTTCCTGTAAATTAACCTGAGAGGATGGTGAGTATAACCCGATTCAGGACACTCCCAAGAGGATAAGTATGACCTGAGTCGACTCATAAGTCGCAGCATGGTGGCAAGGAATCATACCTGTATCACGCAAGACAGTTGAGATTTCAGCCAATCACCCATCTGGTGATGCCAGGGAGTAAATCAGTAAGTATGTGAATCCGTGATTCTGTAAATTTCTGAATCTTTAAATTTGTGAACCTCGGACGGTGGGTGAGAATCTGTGCTGGGGAAGAAACCTGTGTTGTGATTAGGCGTATTCCTAAATCTGGGGCGTCGGGATAGAGTCCCAACTTCGTGATCCTCTCCTCCCTCATTCTCCCCCATCATAATCCTACAGGGAAAACACTCTCTCAGCACACCTGGTTACCCCTGCCATTGGCGCACACTTTGCCATGTCCCTGCTTCGGCTCTCAGGTTCTAACAATCCAACTCCCCTCTCTGCTCTCATGAGGTAGCACTTGCCTTTTGGCAGCTATGTCCTGTTGCCAGACGCTCTCGCTCCCCTTGTAAGATTATTGAGAAGTCTCCAATCTCTCGAAAGTTCCAAAAGAATCGTGAGAATTCGTGTGGTCGCTCTGTTGAGCCTTCATACATGTCAATTCGTTTTTCCTCTTGTTTCTATTCATTCCATGTCTGGTAAGTCCAGCCAGCCAATGACTGTGGAATTGTTTTCTCGCATGCATGCACTTTGAACTATCTGCTCTCAACTGTACATTCAGAGTCTCCCCTCCCTGTTTCTTCCCTCGTTTGTTATTCACCCCCCCCCCTCCGCCCCCCCCCGTCCCGCTTGTTATTCGTCCTGCCACTGTTTCAGACAATGCCTCTTCCGCCCCTCCGGTGGCTGGAGTGGAGAGGTGAGAAGCCGACAGCTTTGCAGGTGGGGGGCATGGGGGTGAGATGCTTGGTGCTGAGATGTATGGGGAGTAGAGGCATGGGGGGAGAGGCAGGGGGGGGAGAGGCACGTGGGGGAGAGGCATGGGGGGAGAGGCAGGGGGGAAGAGGCAGGGGGAGGAGGGGCACGTGGGGGAGAGGCATGGGGGGAGAGGCAGGAGGGGAGAGGCAGGGGGAAGAGAGGCACGTGGGGGAGAGGCATGGAGGGGAGATGCAAGGAGGGGAGAGGCAGACATCACGAAATTGGCATTTCGTGATGTCTCGCAGCAGGCGCTCGTTCGTTTCACCTCACCTGTGTTGATTCAATCATTCAACGTGGATCACTGCCGCCTGCCTTGAGGTGATTTTTGAGGCGCCTAAAAATTCATCTCAATGTCTCGCAGCAAGCACTCGTTTCGTTTCACTTCACCTGTGTTGAACTGATTAGCTCATTCAACATGGATCACTGCTGCCTGCCTGCCTGAGTTGCCACATGATATAAGTTGGGTTTTGAGACTTCTCAAAACCCAACTTTTATCACTTGTGTTGAACTGATTTATTCATTTAACATGGATGGATCACTGCTGCCTGCCTGCCTGAGTTGCTCCGTTGCTGCAGGTTTGTGTTTGTGGTATCAGGGCGAGTCAGATTCACTAAGTACGGGGTTCCAGGAGAGACCGGAGCGGCCAATGAGTGCTCGACAGCTGGCGATGCTGGGAGCGCCTCCACCTGTACAAGCTTCATTGTTCGGCAGGAGGATCTTACGGTACGGCGTACGCACATGGGCTTTAAACTGCTCACAAAGGCTAATCACCCATTTTCATTTTCACCCAAAAAGTGTTCACTTCAAACGTTTTGCATTCGAGCTTTTCACCCTTTTGCAGGAGGATCTCGTGGTATGGGCCTTGAGCCTTGCATTGCATATATAGCATGTATAGCATGTATAGCATGTATAGCATGTATAGCATGTATAGCATGTATAGCATGTATAGCATGTATAGCATGTATAGCATGCTTCTTCCATATGTCCTCTACCCTAGCTCGCATGCCCTTCCCACGAACACACACACCCACACATTTATACCAACTCCCCTGCTGTGCCTCCTTCATTCAGGACGACTCTTATGTGCATCTGCCTCCAAATACGCCCCACTCATTAGCCTCTGCGTCTGGAGCTACGCTAATTCTCATCGAACGGAGGTATGGTTCTCCTTTACATAAGAGCTTAGCCCAGCAGAGTGGTCACTGAATGAAACGCCCCACTCGTTGGCTTCTGCGTCTGGAGCTACACTCGTGCTCATTGAACGCAGGTACAGTCCCCTAGAGCTTAAAGCCTAGATTTCAGGTACAGGTACGAGAGGTCACCGCATGGAGCGCACCAATCCTTGGCCTCTGCGTCCGGAGCTACACTCGTGCTCATTGAACGAAGGTAAGGTCCCCTTTGCCTTGAAGAGCTTAAAGCTACATTTCCAAGCACAGGACACAAAGAGAGGTCCCTGAATGACACGACGCCCCACTCCCTGGTCTCTGCGTCTGGAGCTACAATCTTTCTCATTGGGCCAAGGTAAGGCCCTCCTTGCAGTGAAAATGCTTCAATCTCAACTCTCATCTCAAGTACAGGGCAGAGTGGTCACTGAATATAACTCATCACGCGTTGGCCTCTGCGTCTGGAGCTACACTCGTTCTCTTAGGGAGAAGGTACTTCCGACCCCGAAACTCCAAGCCTGAAAATTGATCCCAAGATTCAATCAATGAAACAATTTGAGTTTCACAGACCACTGCTTCATTTGCCCATGCAGGAGCTACACTCGTTTCTATCCTTAATCCCGTTTCTATCCTTAATCCCGTTTCTATCCTTAATCCCGTTTCTATCTTAAAAGATCGTGCCTTCAACCCAAAACCCACATGATGTGGACCGTCCTTCTTCCTTTCCTTCCTTAATTCTTCCTTCCCTTCACCCCCCTTCCCAGCCTCCCCTCCTTCCCTCCCCCCTCCCCCATCCCCCCTCCCCCCTCCCCCTCCCCCATCCCCCCTCCCCCCTCCCCCTCCCCCATTCCCCCTCCCGCTGCCTTCCCTCGCCCTTTTCTCCCTCCTTTCTCCCTCCCCCGTCCTCGCCCCCCTCCTCCCCACACCAAAGTCCCACGCCATCCACCCATTTAAATCAGGTACTGCCCTATCTCAGGCCTTGCTACAGCCTCAGGGGCGGAGAGCGAGGGGTTTTGAGTCGACTCAAAAGCAGACTCAGAGGCCGTCCTCGTCTCCCTCCACCTCCGCCTCTTCCCCCCAAACCCCCATGCCCTCCGCCCACCACCATCAGGTACTGCCCTATCTCGGGCCTCGCTACAGCGTCAGGGGCCCCCCACCGCCCCTCCACCCCCGCCCCAAACCCCCATGCCCTCCAGCCACCAACATCAGGCACTGCCCTATCTCGGGCCTCGCTACAGCCTCAGGGGCGGAGAGCGAGGGGTTTTAAGTCGACTAAAAATATATTACCTCTCCTCCTTCCCTCCCCCCCCCCATGCCCTCCACCCACCACCATCAGGTACTGCCCTATCTCGGGTCTCGCAACAGCCTCAGGGGTGGAAAGCGGTCCAGAAGGGCTAGCGGTGGTGGTGGGACAGACGCACAAGCAACCTATCCTGCCGGTCCCTGGGGAGGTGTGTTGTCCTGCTCTGACCTTCCCTTGTGTCTTGTTTTCATTCCGCTTGTGTGTTGCTTTCGCTTTCACTTGTGTCTCATTTTTAAATATTATTGGTGTTCTGTATTCAATTCCCCTTGAGTGCCGTTTTCACTTTCACTAGTGTTTCTCGCTTTTCACTGCTAGCTGAGCTGCCACCTGTAACTGCCACCTGTAACTGCCACCCGTACATGTCACTGTAGTGGTCAGTTTAATTGCGCAAGCAACCAACTCTGTTGTCACTGTCAGCTCACATCGTTCTTCGGACTTAGCGCTTCTCAAATTACTCATTACTCGCCTCCCTTTTGCAACTGAATGTGCGGAGCGGTTCTGTGCGGTGTTCTGCGGTGTCATTCATTTTGTTTTTCAAATGCATTATTCTCAGGTCTTTGCTCTTCGCAAGCTGCTTCCGACCACCATTGCCTATGATTTCAACATTCATGTAAGGGGTTGTTTCGAACAGCAATATTTTGTTTTTGTTCTGTGTTTTGCCTGTTGATGCTGAAGAAACCCATATCTACATTTCTCTCCCTCACTCTTTTTTTTGTTTTTTGTTTTTTTTTTCTGTCAACAAACACAAGCGTCAGTGCCCTTTACGTTTAACACTTGGTGTGCTCTTTTTGCAGATCATGGACTTTGAGCCAGGGGAGTTCCTAAATGTGAAGGTGAGTATGGCTTCTCTAGGTGATAATGCAAGCAAGTGTCAATGCTCAAGGTGATAGCCTGGCAGTAGTCAATGTGATAGTGTAGCTGAACATCCCCGATCCTATGTGGTTGCTTACGCATGCATGCATGCTCCTTTTCAGCCAACTTAAAGCCGAGCAAACTTTTGAACCTTCCAAAAGACCTGTATTCGCTGAAGCATACATGTTCTATTTGAATCCACTCAGGTTTTGCCTTTGAGGTAGCTTTCCTTCCGTCCCTCCCACCCTCGCACCCTTCCTCCCTCCCTCCCTCCCTCCCTCCCTCCCTCCCTCCCTCCCTCCCTCCCTCCCTCCCTCCCTCCCTCCCTCCCTCCCTCCCTCCCTCCCTCCCTCCCTCCCCACTCCCTCCCTCCCTCCCTCCCTACCTCCCTCCCTACCCTCCCTCCCTCCCTCCCTACCCTCCCCCCCTCCCTCCCTCCCTCCCTCCCTCCCTCCTCCCTCCCTCCCTCCCTCCCTCCCTCCCTCCCTCCCTCCCTCCCTCCCTCCCTCCCTCCCTCCCTCCCTCCCTCCCTCCCTCCCTCCCTCCCTCCCTCCCTCCCTCCCTTCCCTCCTTTCCCTATCGTCTTCCCTCCTGTTTCCCTGTCTGTATAACAGGAAGTGCATTACAATCAGCACGGACTGCTGCTGTTGGAAGGACGGGGAATATACCGTTTGGCTGATAGCTGGTGAGGCAAAAGAGTTTGTTGTAACAGCTGGTGACGATGAAATGCAGTGCATGTGTCTTATGTTTTGATCCAGGGCTTTGCAGTGAGGAAATTATGCGGCTATGAAAAAACTTCACAGCGCACTTGAACCAAGCATGTGAAGCTGCAGTTTCTAAGCATTCATTCAATCGTTGCAATTCTGTTTCACTCTGTATGTATTTGCAGGTATCCCGTTCAAGCAGGTGACGCAATTTGGATGGCCCCGTTTGTTCCCCAGTGGTGAGGAAACCTTGCCTTGCAGATTTAACTAATAACAATGACATGAGTGTGACATGGAACTCATGGGTGATCGACAGACCATTAATCCCAGTGGTCGGATTGTATCATGGATTATCTGTTTCTACTTGATCTCAGCTGCATTGGGAATCGCTTATGCTTCCTCGTTGCTAATTTTTTCTCGTCGTACATGTTTTCAAACACCCATGTTTTCTCGTCTCCTTTTTCCCTCATCACACCTGCTTCTCTACACCCATGTTTTCTCCGCGCTGATGTTTCCTCATCCCTCATGTTGAGCCATGCAGGTATGCAGCTCTCGGCAAGACCCGGTCAAGATATCTCCTTTACAAGGACGTCAACCGCGACCCGCTGCTCCATCCGTCTTGTTGATATGCGTCTGACATTTAGACATCACCCCTACAATCAAAAGCCGCCCCCCCCCCATGCACGTGGAGCGGGGGGGAGGGGGGGGTGGTATTTGGAAAACTTTGGTACTGACTAAAGAAATTTCCACGATGGCGTAGCTGTGCTGAAAAGTACGTACTGCTTCTCTGCAATGCACACCTCTACAGAAGATAGACTTATTTACCGTACTTCTTCTCCTAACTGCTAGAATTGACTAGAAAGCCAGGCAGAACGCTGCGTACATCATTATCATCAGTACGGGATAAGCACGTTCAGACAAGAAGCATGTTTTTGTAGGGAATTGTTATTCCTACTAGGGACGTGCCTACTTGACTGTGTACACTTCTCTCGGAAATACAACCTTAGATGGCGAGTTTACGATAACCATGGCCTTTTAAGCATGGCCTCCTCAACAATCCATCAGCGTTAACTTGTGTAAGACCTACGCGGCCTACCCTAGGTGCTCTAATTCTGGAACCTAAGGTCCAAGGAGTGGCAAAAGAACTGCACGGACTGGAGTGCTTCACTAGTCCTACCTACGGTACATTGTAAGTCTGCAGGTCACAAGGGCCATGGATCATTCATCTGCTTCAGAGTCTGATGAGTCTCCAGCATTTAATGATTTGTCCAGCGCATCCATGTCAGCTGATGAAGACAAACTTACAATCTTGATCAACGAAGCATCCTCGCTGCAGGAACAAAGAAACGTTAGCGGCGGTTTAAATGGAAAACAAAGAGAGGGGTGGCCCAACAACACTCACTCTGTAACTCCAAAAATGCTTTTGATTTCAAGCTTCTCACGCCCAGATGGCCCACAGAAATCATCCAGCTGCATCAGAAACACACAAATGTTAATTTGTGTAACGTGACGGCACCACATTCTCATGCACAATTCACGACAGGAACACCACGTACCTCAGACAAGTACAGGAGCTTTGTGAAGATCCCCTGTACCGCTGCCTTCCTCTGCACTCCCTTTTCAGTGAAACCAGTTGTATCCATCACCACAGGACCTGCAGCCGAGGTTGACGTGAGGGAGGGGATTTTTTCTTTTGTGGAGCGGCTATAACCACCAAAACAAGATGAAACACACAAAAAAACGGCTATTACCTTTGGCTTTAACGATTCTCCGAGAGATCTCATTAAGCACCTCGGCAATCTCAAGGTCATCAAGACCAGACACTTTCCGTAGGTGAATGAGGCCGGAAACCGTCTCCGGGGTAAAGGGCTTTTCATTGATCACGTAGCGAATGTACTTGCGAAGAATCTCATCCGAGCTGAAGTTGAACTGCAGAAGAGAAAGAACGTCAGGAGAAGTCCTTACATGTTCAATGAATGACTGCTGGCCTAAATAATGCGGATTGGGAGTACCTTTTTCTCGAGCGACTTGAGCTCCTTTGAAGTCAGAGCGTCCCTGTTGTCAGGCAAACAATCGTCAATGCTCTGATTGAGGCCAGCATTTTTCCCGATCTGCAGAATTCGTACACCAAGGATAGTCAGTAACTTGCGAAGCGCGTGTTATCTCTAACGCCCATACAGGACCAAACACGATCATCCTGACCGGAAAAAGGCTCAGCATCTCGCACCTGTCGTCTGCGCTTCGTCTTGGGAGAGCTTCGCATTTTCACGGTTTTATACACTGCCAGAACGAAAGTCAGAGCCATGTAGCCTAACGGGACGGCGATGAGCCATGGCATATTTGACTCGCCTACACGTGGACCGGGGACCGCCTGCATTACTGACTGAACGGTCTGCTGGACATCGGTAACCCTCTCAGACACCCAAGACGGTTCCTCTTCTTCCTCGATCATTTCCTCTTCAACTACCTCCTCTTCTACCACCGGCTCTTCTACCGGAGCTTTGGCCTTCTTCTTTTTCGCGTGCACGGAGAAGTCTGCAAACCTGCGTTGCTCCGTGAAACGGAAATCTCTAGGTACCGAGAGCGGAGCGCCATAACGAACACGATGCGCTGGCACTAGAGATCGGCCTGCGAGAAGGCACGGAGAAATGGCAGACGCCATGGAAAAAAGCTGTTCAGCGAAAAGAAAAGGTCTAGGAGTCACTGCTGGAAGGGTGGCCTGGTCGGGCAAGATCGGCAGGGAGGGGAAAAGAAAGGCTTCGTTGGGGGAGGGCGACATGCGCTGGAAAGAAAGAGCCGTTGTTTCCGTTATGATACAGTTCGCTAAAACAGCAGGATGGCTTCTGACACATGAGTGCTAAAAAATATTTCAACGAATTGTAGTTAAAACAAATTACAGATGCCTACAACTATCGGTGTAGTTAGATAAAGGAGAAGCACTACAGAAAGAAACTAGATGAAATAAAGTATGCTGCATATTTGTTTGTAGTTACTATTGACTCAATCACATCGGTAACATAGTTTTCCATTCAATACCGTATCAACATGGGGGAGAAGCAGGAGACTGCAAACAAATGCCACCATCCTCTTTCCCTATGCATTCTTTTCAAATGCATGCAAGTGCTTCTCTTAGTGCCTTCCTCCTCTCCCCCTGTGCCCATGCCCATGCCCATGCCCGCGCCCATGCCCATGCCCATGCCCACGCCCATGCCTTCCCCCTCCTCTCCCACCCCCCCTCGCCCCTCCTCCCCCACCTCCAGCCTCCTCAGGGGGGACCGAATTCGCATGAGGGGAGGAGAGGAGGCTACGCACTGCTGCCACGACCCTCTCCCCCTGTGCATGCACGTCCAGGGATGGGTTCTCGATCTTCTCCCTCAGTAGCCCATCCAGCTGCTGCCTCAGGTCCTGGGAGAGAGGAGGGAAGGAGTACAATAGATGGGTTTGTTTTTTGAGAGTTCTAAAAAAACACACTCAGGAGGGAAGGGGTACAATGGATGGAAAAAACATTAGCACTGCTGTCTCAGATCCTGGAAGTGAGAGGAAGGAGTACAATGGATGGAAAAACATTAGCACTGCTGTCTCAGATCCTGGGAGAGTAGGGGGGAGATGGCGGGATATGGGCAGACGGGAAGAATGGGTTGAGAAGGCACATAAGATAACACCGCCACCACCACTACCGCTGAAGAGCACATACCTCCCCAGGACCACGTGCAAAAAGTGTATTTTTGAGACGTCTCAAAAATACACCACTACTACCGCTCAAGTGCACATACCTCCCCACCCCAGGGACCCCCGCATGTCAAAGCCCGTGTGGCTCTCTAATAAAACGCTCTGGCTCACAGTTAACCAGGCTCCTTCCTTTCATCCATTCCATGGGGTTTGTCCCGTCGTTCTAAGAACCAATACGAGTTGATGGAAATAAGACATCCGCAGCCCACCTGCCCGTTACTGACAGCTACCTTCCCAGGGCCCCAGCATGTTAAAACCCGTGTGGCCGGCAGGGGTCACAGCGTGTGTGGCTGCATGCCTGCTCTCACCTGCATGCACTGCGCTCTCACCTGCATGCACTGCGCTCTCACCTGTGATGAGTCTGTTTTTGAGTAGAAATAGAACTCAGAACCGCGCTCTCACCTGCACGAGTTGAGGAGTCTGAGCTGAAGCACTGAAGTGCGGGTATCCTCCCAGCATGTCAAAGCCCGTGCGGCCAGCAGGGGTCACATTGTGTGTGATTCACACTTAGAGCTTGCATGCCTGCCCTCACCTGCACGAGTTGAGCCGTCTGAGCTGAAGCACTGAAGTGCGGGTATCCTCCCAGCATGTCAAAGCCTGTTAGGCTATCTGCCCTCACCTGAAGCAGATCTCACCTGCACCAGTTGAGCCGTCTGAGCTGAAGCGCTGAAGTGCGGGTATCCTCCCAGCATGTCAAACCCCGTGCGGCCAGCAGGGGTCACAGAGTGTGTGGCGAACAGCTTATGTCTGTCTGCATGCCTGCATGCTCACCTGCACTCCGCCTCTCACCTGCACAAGTTGAGCAGTCTGAGCAGATGCGCTGAAGTGTAGGTAACCCCCCAGCATGTCAAAGCCCGTGCGGCCGGCAGGGGCGGGCTCGAAATTGCCTCCGAACATGAGGAGGGCGAAATCAGAGACCATGGTGGAATCCCTGTGAGGGGTGGGGAGGGGTGGAGCACGGTAAGTATCCCTTGAGGCAGCAGGGGCGGGCTCGAAGTTACCTCCGAACATGAGGAGCGCGAAATCAGACACCATGGTTGAGTCTCTGGGAGGGGGGACGGAGAGGGGGCAAAAGAAGGAAAAGGATGTTTCCCTTAAGTTGGTTCTGAACATGAGGAGAGCGAAATCTAGTTTTGAGACATCTCAAAACTAGTTGGTTCTGAACATGAGGAGAGCGAAATCAGAGACGGAGTCTCTGTGGGGTGGAGGGGTGTGGAGCACGGTAAGTATCCCTTGCGACCAGCAGGGGCGGGCTCGAAGTTGCCGCCGAACATGAGCAGAGCGAAATCAGACACCACGGTGGAGTCTCTGTGGGGTGGAAAGAGGGAGGGGTAGGTAGAGTGCAACACAATAATTGGAGGGAATTTTCCTTGGGCAAGCAGGGTTGCAGCAGGCGCAGGCTCTGAGTTGCCTCGGAACATGGGCAGAGCGAAATCAGACACCATGGTGGAGTCCCTGGGAGGGGTGGGGGGAGGGAGGGGTGGAGGGGTGGGTGAATGGGTGGGTAAAAAGAAGCACGGAGTTTGGGGCACGGTGCGTGTTCCTTCAACCAGCAGGGATGCAGCAGGCACGGGGTCTGGGTTGCCTCCAAACATGAGGAGCGTGAAATCAGATACCATGGTGAAACCCCTGGGAGGGGTGGATCGCATTGAACCCCATTGTACCGTTACCAACCTGAGAAAAATGTCGGAGGGAACGAATGGTAATGCTGGAGGACGGCGTTAAATGTAACGCACCATTAGCAACCCAGTGAGCTGCATTGGACCGCATTGTACCGCATTCAGCCATAGCCCGCCTGAGGAAGATGTGGAAGGAATTGTATGGTAAACCAAGGCACTAACCCGTGTATGGACTTGTACCATAACCCTGTGAACTGCACTAAACAGTACTGAACCACCGCGAACCGTATTGAACCACAGAAAGTTCATCGGATCAGTACCAACCCGAGGAAGATGTCGGAGCCTCCGACATGAGCACCGGATGAGTCGGAGGTCCTCCTTCGACCTTCTTGTTGTACACGAGCCAAGGGCGAAGGAGGGGCAGAACAGAAGGCGCTGATCCCAATGCATCACTGCTAACCCTGTGAACCGCTTTAAACCGTACTGAACCGAATAAAAACCCATCATACCGGTACCAACCTGAGAAAAATATCCGAGGTCTTGACCTTCTCGTCTGAACCTAATGCGTCTTCAATTGAACCGCATTGAACCGGCACCAACCTGAGGAAGATGTCGGACGTCTTAACCTTCTCGTTGTACACGAGCCAGGGGCGGGAGAAGGAGGGGCAGAAGGCGTTGACTGAGGAAGGGTGCATCTTCACGTGTCCATCGTCCTTTGTGAAGAACACAAACCGCGTGCCCTGCCGGCGAATCTGAAGGGGGAAGACAAGGAAGAGAAGGGGATAAATATAAGTGTTACAGAGGAGGGGTTGACTGAGGAAGAGTGCATGTCCATACGCCCATCGTCTTCCTTGAATAACACAAACCGCGTGCCCTGCCGGCGAATCTATAAAACGAGGAGTGGGGGGAGGGAAATATGGGAAGAAATCGGGGCATTATAGGGTAGTTGATCACAGTGGGTTAACTTAACTATGGCCGGTTGTGCAGGGGAAATCTCTGCTCATAGCAATTCGTTATATGAATTGAGACATGCTCGAAAAATACGAAACAAAAAGTTTTTGGTTTCGTAAGGAAGGGCAGGACACGTGACTGTGTGTTGTTGTGCAATATCAGGGACATGATTCAAGGCAAGCACCTGAAATTGTAAAACAAACAGCTCGTGATGACCTGAGCAACAGAGACCCCCACCTGAGCAACAGAGATTCCCACCTGAGCAACAGAGACACCCACCTGAGCAACAGAGACACCCACCTGAGCAACAGAGACCCCCACCTGAGCAACAGAGACCCCCACCTGAGCAACAGAGATTCCCACTTGAGCAACAGAGACACCCACCTGAGCAACAGAGACCCCCACCTGAGCAACAGAGACCCCCACCTGAGCAACATAGCCCCCCACCTGACCAACATAGCCCCCCACCTGAGCAACAGAGAACCTCACCTGAGCAACAGAGACCTTCACCTGAGCAAAAGAGACACCCACCTGAGCAACAGAGACCCCCACCTGAGCAACAGAGACCCCCACCTGAGCAACAGAGACCCCCACCTGAGCAACAGAGGGGTAGAGGCCCGCACAGATCACAGCCGAGAGCATCTCTTGGTCCGATGCCAGCTTGCTGTACTCCTGAGGGGGTTGAATGGGGCAATAGGGGGGTGAAAGGGGGTCAATAGAGGTTTTAACGAGGTTTTGGGGTGACAGTGCAGAGAGCATTTCTTGGTCCGATGCCAGCTTGCTGTACTCCTGAGGGGGTTCAGTAAGAAGGGGGTTCAATGGGGGGGGGGAGGGGGGTTGGTCAATGGGGGGTGTCAGTAAGAGTTTGAAAGAGTTTGAAAGAGTTTGAAAGAGTTTGAAAGGGTGTTTTTTGAGTCGACTCAAAAGTCAATGGGGGGGGTCAATAAGAGTTTGAAAGAGTGTTTGCATGGGAGTCAATAATTTGACAGGACGGAAGAGCATTTCGTGGTCTTATGCAAGCTGGCTTTTGAGGCGCCTCAAAAGCATTTCGTGGTCTTATGCAAGCTGGCTTTACTCCTGAGGGGAAGAAAGGGGGTGAAGTTCAACCATTAGGCGGGTTGTTGGGAAGTGGGGGTAAGAAGCCGGTTACATGAGAGTTAGAATGGAATTCAATGGGTTGACATGACAGTGGGAAGAGCATTTCTTGGTCCGATGCGAGCGGGCTGTACTCTTGAGGGGGTTTAATGGGGGGGTCACAGAGTTTGAAAGGGAGTTTGAATGAAAGTCAATAATTTGACAGGGGGGAAGAGAATTTCACGCGAATTTCACACGCACTGCTGCCCTTCCACCATGAGTGACATTGACAGGGGGGAAGAGAATTTCTTGATCCGATGCAAGCTTGCTGTTAAGTTTTGCATGGGGGGTCAATTAGGGGTTAAATGGGCGGCAGGGGGCCAAGAGGGTATTATAATATTTATAGACGAGTTTGAAAGGAAGCGATTGGGCTCACAGCAGAGAGCATTTCGAGGGCCGATGCGAGCTGGCTTTACCCTTGAAGGAGGGACAGAAAGGGGGTCACATTCACAGCCAACAGGCGGGTCATAGGGGGTTCATTAGGGTATTTACATGGGAGTGTTAAAGGAATTCAACTGGTTGACAGTGGGGAGAACCCAATATCACTCAGCAGCTGCAGGAACTGCCCTCGCATGTCCGCCACCACCTGCAGCACCGGCGCTGCTTCTTTTCAACCCCATGCATGCATGTGCCACCCTCTTCACTCTCAGTGCTTGCAAGGCACTCACATGGAGCCCCAGTCTCGGGTCGTAGAACCCGATATCGCTCAGCAGCTGCAGGAACTGCCCTCGCATGTCCGCCACCATCTGCAGCACTGGCGCCGATAAGAAGTTATCCCAGCAGAAGGGGCGCTCCAGGCCTTGCTGCTTCGCTGCTCGCCACCCCTCAAACGCGTTCAGCAATGTGATGTGGTCGCTGGAGGATGGAGAGAGGGGTAGAGGTCGGGGGGGGGGGGGGGGGGTGGGATGAATGGTAGAGGAGAGTATGGGATTGGGTAGTCAGGAAGTTATCCCAGGCAAAATTTTTGAGGCGCCTCAAAAGGAGAGTATGGGATTGGGTAGTCAGGAAGTTATCCCAGGCAAATTTTTTGAGGCGCCTCAAAAGGAGAGTATGGGATTGGGTAGTCAGGAAGTTATCCCAGGCAAAAGGGGCCGTCCAGGCCATGCAGCTTGGCCGCTCTCCACCCCTCCAAGCAATGCTACATATGTGGTCGCTCGGAGGACGGGGTGGGGAAGGGGGAGGTGAGGATAAGAAAGAAGGGAATGTGAGAGGGTGAAAGACAGACAAGAAGTGCATTCGTCTTTTTGAATCTTTGGCAAAATCCTTCTTGGCTGCACCAGCCAACTCCTTCTTGTCGAGGGGCAGCACAAAGGGAGTGTGGTGTGACAAAGAGGCAGCGATGGGGATGGGTGAATGAGGATTGCAATGGCCTGGCGACAGTGTTCTCACCTTTGAGAATTCCTTCTTGGCTGCATCTGCCATCTCCTTCTTCTCACCTCAATGGTGAAGAGCACTCCACCCTACACCACCGCACCCCACCCCATTCCACCCCAGCTCACCTCCTCGAGTCCTTTGAGAACTCCTTCTTGGCTGCATCTGCCAGCTCCTTCTTCTCGAGAGGAAGGACAAAGGGGTCCCGATAGGCGAGAGAAGCAGCGATGGTGAGCGCTGGGGCGAGGCAGTTGAAAATGGCTCCGAATATGAGCATCTGGTGGGATGAGGAGATGGCAGGAAAGGGTTGGTGGGGAGAGAGGGGCAGGAGAGGAGACAGAGGGGGGGAGAAGAGGGGAGGGGATAGGTAAGCAGCAATTGTGAGCGCTGGGGCGAGGCAGTTGAAAATGGCTCCGAATATGAGCATCTGGTGGGATGAGGAGATGGCAGGAAAGGGTTGGTGGGGAGAGAGGGGCAGGAGAGAAGGCAGAGGGGGAGAGAAGCGGGGGAGGGATACGCAGCAATTGATGGTGAGGTGAGGAATGCGGGGATGAGCAGCAAGGGTGAGAGCCTGGGGGGAGGCAGTTAAAAATGGCTCCGAATATAAGCATCTGGTGGGATGTGGCACCCGAGGAGCAGAGAGAGAAAAAAGACCCACCTTTCCAATGTGGTGCTCCACGAGAATCGCGGTCAGGAGGCATCCGAGGGAGTTTTGAGTCGACTAAGGCCCACCTTTCCAATGTGGTGCTCCACGAGAATCGCGGTGGAATGCGGCAGGAGGCATCCGAGGGAGGGAGGCACAAGAGCATCACATCAGACGGTGTTGAAAATGCTCTCCCTCCCTCATCCATCAAAACCCACCTTGCCAATGCGGGGCTCCACGGGAATGGCGGCCAGGTGGCATCCCAGGGGGGTGAGACACAGGGGAGGTGGCACCTAAGGCATCCAAGGAAAGTGGCAGCTGATGGAGGTGGCACTTGAGACCAACGAGACCCACCTTTCCAATCCGGGGCTCCACAGGAATGGCAGCCAGGTGGCATCCAAGGGGGGTGAGTTGCTCGTCGGGGGTGAATGCTCCAATGGTCTCCAGCAGCTGCACCGCGTTCTGCACCTGAGAGGGGGATGGGGTAAGGGAGAGTGGAGAGCGGGTGAGAGTGGGAGGTGGCATCCCAGGGGGGTGAGTTGCTCATCCCAGATGGTTTCCAACAGCTGCACCGCGTTCTGCACCTGAGAGGGGTTGGGTAGGAATGAGGGGAAGGGGATTGGGGAGATGACAACTGAGGGAGGGGAGTTGCTCGTCAAGTGAATGCTCCAATTGTTTCCAACAGCTGCACCGCGTTCTGCACCTGAGAGGGCACGGGTTGAGCGAGCAGGGGGGGAGGGGATGTGATTTACATGAAATGTTGCAGCAAGGGAAGGCACCCCAGACCAGAGAGGGGAGTTGCTCGTCGGGCGTGAATGCTCCGATGGTCTCTAACAGCTGCACCGCGTTCTGCACCTGAGGCGTGGGGGAAGGAAGGAGAGTGGAGGGCAGCGGGTGAGAGTGGGAGGTGGCACCCCAGGGGGGTGAGTTGCTCATCGGGCGTGAATGCCCCGATGGTCTCTAGCAGCTGCACCGCGTTCTGCACCTGAGGCGTGGGGCGAACAGAGGGAGGGAGATGGATCGTGAGAGATTAGGGGAGGTGGCATCCCAGGGAGGTGAGTTGCTCGTCGGGGGGGAATGCTCCGATGGTCTCTAACAGCTGCACCGCGTTCTGCACCTGAAAGGGCACGGGTTGAGGGAACAGGGAGAAAGGGAGGGGGAAAGGAGGGAGAGTGGAGATGGGATGTGGCATCCCTCTTAGGGAGGTGAGTTGCTCATCGGGCGTGTATCCCCCACACCACACGTACTGCCAGCGGTTCTGGAGGTTGCATGGCTTCGGACAGGAACGACTGCACGTGCCCCAATTCCAGGTGCTTCATCTGCACACACAGCTCCTGCAGGGGTGTCCTTAGAATCTCGGGCAGCTGAAAATCCAGCAGCGAATCATAAACCAGCTTCGGGTAGAGGTGGAAACAAATTCCCGGCTGAACGCGCCCTTCCCGCCCCCTCCTCTGGTGGGCTGAGGCCTTGGAAATCCACGAGGGGAGAAGGCAGGCCAGCTTGTTTAGAGCATCGTAGGAAGTTTCCTTGGCCTTTCCACAGTCGACAACAAAAACGACGTCGTCGATTGTGATGCTGGTCTCTGCTATGTTGGTCGCCAGGACTACTTTTATGGAGAGAAATATTACAGAGAAAGGAGAATGAATGAATGAATGAATGAGGGGAAGAGGAGAAGGAATGAAAGACCACGTCGTCGATTGTGATGCTGGTCTCTGCTATGTTGGTCGCTAGGACCACCTTTCTGGAGAGGGGAGGAAGGTAAATGAGAGGAGGAGAGGAAAGGTGAGAGAATGGGCTGGGGAGAGGTGAGAAGAGTTGTGATGCTGGTCTCTGCTAATGTTGGTCGCCAGGACTACCTTCCTGGCGAGGGGAAAGAGAGGAGGGAAGGAGCAGAAGCAACAAAGGAAAGAGTAGATGAGGAAGGCCACCTTTCCGCAGTCGACAACGAAAACCACATCGTCGATGGTGATGCTCGTCTCCGCTATGCTGGTCGCCAGAACCACCTTTCTGGGGAGGGGAGGAGGGGAGGAGGGGAGGAGCGGAAGGAGCAGAAGTGACAGAAGGAGAGAAGCAAGGAGGAGATGAGGAAGATCTCCTTTTCGCAGTCGACGACAAAGACCCCGTCGTCAATGGTGATGCTGGTTTCCGCTATGCTGGTCGCCAGGACCACCTTCCTGAAGAGCAAGAAACACAGACATAAGGGAAAGAGAACGATGTTGAGATGGCGAGGGGCTGGGGAGAGTGAAAGGCAGCATTGTCGATTGTGATGCTGGTCTCTGCGATGCTGGTCGCCGGAACTACCTTCCTGGCGAGAAGAAACAGTATCGAGAACACGGGAGGAATAAATAGAGATAATGAAAAAGCAGATTGTGAGGGGCGGCTATGATAAATTATTATGTGCCAGAGATGAGAGAGTAACAGCAAGGGATAAAGAAAAAACTGACACCAAGCGCAATGTCGAGAGTCGGAGCAAAGAATCTTACTGGATACACAACCACCACGTGAGAGTAAATGTGTTTTAAGACGTCTGAAAATAAAAAAAAAACATCGAGAGCCCAAGCAAAGACTCTTATAAAATACACAAGCTTTTACGCACACTTCGGGTACACTTACGACAAAAGAATATTATCATGTCATATCCATAATCCATTCCATGGGTGTATTGTAAAGCCACCCACCTGATTCCGGGAGGCGGGCGGTTGAATATGTCCTTCTGTTGAATCGTTGGCATGGACCCATGCAGGGGCAGCAGCAAAACTTTCGACGGCTGCCCAGCGACAGGCATCGCCTTGAGCGCCTCCAGAAGCTTCGAAATTTCGTCCCAGCCCGTCAGAAAGACCAGCACGGCCCCCTCAGCCTCGTTCCTGCAGATATGCTCCACCACGAATGCCACTAGATCAATGTCTAGCTTGTCTGGTGAGAAGTTGGCGAGCGAGTCCTGGGTGGGGCGGGTGAAGGCAGAGTAGTGCGACCATATGTCCACATCCTGCCATGCCAGGGATGTAGAGGGGTGGAGAGGGGTGGCACTCCATATATGCTCCACCACGGATGCCACTAGATCAATGTCTAGCTTGTCTGAAGAGAAGTTGGTGAGAGAGTCTTGGGTGGGCCAAGAGAAGGCAGAGTAGTGCGACCATATGTCCACATCCTGCCATGCCAGGGATGTAGAGGGGTGCAGAGGGGTGCAGACAGGTGGAACGGGGTGGAAAGGGGTGGAAAGGGGTGGAGAGGGGTGGCACTGCAGATATGCTCCACCACGGATGCCACTAGATCGATGTCTAGCTTGTCTGGTGAGAAGTTGTAAAGGGATTCTTGAGTGGTCCGGGTGAAAGCAGAGTAGTGAGACCACACGTCCACAGCCTGCCAAGAAAAACGTGTACATGGATGGGGGGTGGAGACAGGTAGAGAGGGGTGGAGAGAGGAATAGCACTCCTGCATATGCTCCACGACAGATGCCACTAGGTAGATGTTGGCGAGGGAGTCGTGGGTCGGGAGAAGGCAGAGAAGTGCCCACCCAGGATGACCACACGTCCACGTCCTGGTAGGGTAGGGATGGGAGGGTTGAAGAGGGGGTGAAAGTGAAACGTGGTGGTATTGCAAGAATGAAGGCAGAGCTGCAGAGTACTGCAAATACAACTACCAGTTCACTGGTTCTCACCTCTGAAATCGGCCTTTCTTTGCCAAACTCGCACTCCTCTCCCGTCCCCCACTTTTTTGAGTCGACTCAAAAAGAGGCTCATCACACACGGACTATACGTCGAGAAATTTTGTTGCTTGGACGATTGGTTGTAGCTTGTTGAAGCTTTTGGTGCGCGCGACTACCGAATCTGTTGCGTGGCAAAGGGTTGGTTGGACCATGCTCCCAATGATGACACCCGCGAGGGTTGAAGACGACTGGATTGGTCCACCACTCCTTGGCGCCTGGATTGGTCCCCAATTTTTTGGAGCGGGCCACAGTGTAGATAACCTTGAGTTTCGTTTTACTGGAGGCGTTAGCTTTTCTTTTCAGGCTTCTGCTCCACTCGACTTTTGAGACGCCTCAAAAGGCTTCTGCTCCACTCTGTTTTCATTCTCGTAGTCGTAGGCACTGATGAAGGCCGGGTAGGGGATGCCCTCCAGCCGAAACATGTTTGTCTTGTTTTAGTTTCTGTTGACGAGAAGAGTTCCTGTTTCACAGACTCTCGGCTATTAGCTAGTGTTGAGATTTACACTGTTTTTTCCTACTTGCTTAAGCCTGAACCTAAGCATTGCTGCTCACTGGAAAATGTCAGAAGTTCTCACCTCTGAAATTGGTCTTTCTTTGCCAAACTCGCACTCCTCTCCCGTCCCCCACTCCCATGCCCCCTCTCATAGCCCCTAAATATTATGATTCTCCTGTCGCCCCCTCCCGTACCCCGTGCCATGTCATAGCCCCTAAATATTATGATTCTCCTGTCGCCCCCTCCCATACCCCGTGCCATGCCATAGCCCAAATATTATCACTCTCACCTCCCAGGCCTCTGAGATCGGGTCTTTCTTTGCCAAACTCGCACTCTTCTCCTGCCGCCCCCTCCCGTACCCGCGCCCTCCCCCTCCTCCTCCTCTCGAGAACCCCCCTCCTCCTCCCTGCTGGCTTTGGTCCCTGATGGGAATGCGTGTGCGCTCTAAGACATGTTCCAGGAATAGTTGCTGCACCGGATGTGTGAACCCCTGGGGGTGATGGGGTGGCAGGCAGAGGAGGAAAGGAAGAGAGTGTCAAACGATGTGACAAGGTGTGCAAACACGAGTCCCCCCACCCCCCCCCCCCGCCTCCCTGCTGGCCCTGGTCCCTGATGGGGATGCGAGTTCGCTCCAACACGTGCTCTAAAAACATTTGCTGCACCGGGTGGGTGAAACCCTGGGGGAGGAAGGGGCAGCGAAAGAAGAGAGCTGATGCGGAACGATCAGATTGCACACAAGAGAAAACCCCATCCTCCTCCGTGTTGCCTCTGGTCCCTCCCTGATGGGAATGCGCGTGTGCTCCAACACGTGCTCCAGGGAACAGTTGCTACACTGGGTGGGTGAAAGGTGAAACCCTGGGGGAGATGAGAGAAACGGGGAGAGACAAGGTGATGGTAAAGCAATATATCATCCATGGGAATGTGGATGTGCTCCAATACATGTTCGAACAACACTTGCTGCACCGGGTGTGTGAAACCCTGGCGGGTGCACTCATGCACACGAGACGATGATCCACGAATGACGGCCTGGGAACATCCCGGGATGTGTGCCATGGAAGATTTGTTGAATTACACTGAGGACATCTCTGCTTTCCCATCACCTTGTCTCTCATGAGTGCCACCATGTGCACTCATGCGTTGATGGTGGCACTCATGAGCACAGAGTGACAGACAGCCCCACCGACAGACACCAGTCAAACTCACCAGGTGCGCCATGGGTGCCTTGTTAAGGTACTCTGAAAACAGTTCGGCGTTGATTGTGGCGCTCATGAGTCATGAGCACGAGGCAGCACGGAGTGACAGAACAGAACCACCAATGGGCACCACTCAAGCTCACAGGGATGTGTGCCATGGGTGCCTTGTCAAAGTACTCTAAAAACAGCTCTGCATTGATTGTAGCGCTCATGAGCACGAGACGGGCGAGGGTACAAAGGTGACCAGAGTGTGATAGTGACATGGAGAGACAGACAGACAGACACCACCTGAACTCACCGGAATGTGCGTCATGGGGGCCTTGTGAAAGTACTCCGAGAAGAGAACAACTTCGCATTGATTGTGGCGCTCATGAGCACGAGGCGCAGGTCGGGGCGGCAGGGGAGACGATTTCTGAGAATGATGTCGAGGAAAAAAGAAAAGAGTAAAGACAGACTCAAGCCCCTCACTCACTGGGATGTGCGCCATGGGAGCTTTATTGAAGTAATCAGAGAAGAGTTCGGCGTTGATTGTGGCGCTCATGAGCACGAGGCGCAGGTCGGGGCGGCGCGGCAGAAGATCCCTCAAGATGATGAGAAGGAAGTCCTCGTTCATTCCTCGCTCGTGTATCTCGTCCACCATCACGTGGGACACGCCTGCCAGGTCTGGTTGTTGGACCTGCAGGGAGGAGGGAGAAATAGGGCAGCACACAAGGTAGAGAAGCAGATCTCTGAGGATGATGAGAAGGAAGTCCTCGTTCATTCCCCGCTCGTGTATCTCGTCCACCATCACGTGAGACACGCCAGCCAGGTCTGGCTGTTGCACCTGTGTTGGTGGGGAGGAGAGACAGACATGGCAGCAGCGCATGGGGCACATGAGACAGCACGTGGGCAGCACATGAGACAGCACGTGAAACAGCACATGAGACAGCACGTGAAACAGCACATGAGACAGCACGTGGGTAGCACGTGGGGCAACACGTGGGGCAGGTCTTTTAGAATGATGAGTCGCAAGTCCTGGTTCATACCAAGGGTTACCTTGACTCATTGTTCAACTACTGCAGCCCTTCGAACTGTGAGAATGATGAGTGCAAGTCCTGGTGCATACCAAGGGATAAGTAAACAGCAATGCATTCACCAGCCACCACTCTCCACCACTCTCCACCACGCACTCACCTCACAACACAATCAGCTCACCAGTCACTCCCCAAGCACTCACCAGTCGTCTCAGCAGCACTCACCAGTCGTCTCAGCAGCACTCACCAGTCGTCTCAGCAGCACTCACCAGTCGTCTCAGCAGCACTCACCAGTCGTCTCAGCAGCACTCGCCAGCCGTCTCAGCAGCACTCACCAGTCGTCTCAGCAGCACTCACCAGTCGTCTCAGCAGCACTCGCCAGTCGTCTCAGCAGCACTCACCAGTCGTCTCAGCAGCACTCGCCAGTCGTCTCAGCAGCACTCACCAGTCGTCTCAGCAGCACTCGCCAGTCGTCTCAGCAGCACTCACCAGTCGTCTCAGCAGCACTCACCAGTCGTCTCAGCAGCACTCACCAGTCGTCTCAGCAGCACTCACCAGTCGTCTCAGCAGCACTCGCCAGTCGTCTCAGCAGCACTCACCAGTCGTCTCAGCAGCACTCACCAGTCGTCTCAGCAGCACTCACCAGTCGTCTCAGCAGCTCACCAGTCGTCTCAGCAGCACGCCTGTCGTGCAGAAAAGCAGTCTCGTGTTGGGACCGCGCCGGCTCTCCATCCTGATCTGATACCCCACGCTGCCCCCCACCTCCTCGCCTCGCTCCGCTGCCACCCTCGCTGCCACAGATGTAGCTGATATCCGCCTGGGCTGGGTGCAGACGATCATTGTCTGCGCTCCCTTTCCTGCCTCGATTTCGCTTTCCAATATAAATTGGGGTAGCTGGGTGGTCTTGCCACACCCAGTCTCACCTGAAACCACCAGCACCTGAGAAAAGGAGAACGAGGTGGGTGCAATCAGAGGAAAGGGAGAGAGAGACAGCATGAATCGGCACATCTGCTGCCTCGCTCCGCCGCCACCCTCGCTGCCACCGACGTGGCTGATATCCGCCTGGGCTGCGTGCAGATGATCATCGTCTGCCCGCCTCTATCTCACTCTCCAGTATGAACTGGGGTAGCTGGGTGGTCTTGCCACACCCAGTTTCCCCTGACACAACAAGCACCTGGGGAGAGGAGAGAGGGGGAGGAAAGGAGTTGGCTGGGTGCAGATAAAAATTGCCTGCCGCCTCTGCCCGCTCCTATCTCACTCTCCAAGATGAACGGGGGGTAGCTGAGTGGTTTTACCACAGCCTGTTTCCCCCGACACCACCAGCACGTGAGCAGATGCTGGCCATTGCCTGCCGCCTCTGCCCGCTCCTATCTCACTCTCCAAGATGAACGGGGGGTAGCTGAGTGGTTTTACCACAGCCTGTTTCCCCCGACACCACCAGCACGTGAGCAGATGCTGGCCATTGCCTGCCGCCTCTGCCCGCTCCTATCTCACTCTCCAAGATGAACGGGGGGTAGCTGAGTGGTTTTACCACAGCCTGTTTCCCCCGACACCACCAGCACGTGAGCAGATGCTGGCCATTGCCTGCCGCCTCTGCCCGCCTCTATCTCACTCTCCAAGATGAATTGGGGTAGCTGAGTGGTCTTGCCACACCGCAATCAGTCTTTCTTGCCTGACAGCACCACCAGCGTCTGACACCACCAGCTGCATTCACCTCCTGGCTCTCCTTCTATAGAACGTTCTGATGCAATCATTCTAACCAGTCGTTGCTGCAATCACCTGGCTCTGTGGCAATCACCTGGCTCTGCTGCAATCACCTGGCTCTGCTGGAATCACCTGGCTCTGCTGGAATCACCTGGCTCTGCTGGAATCACCTGGCTCTGCTGGAATCACCTGGCTCTGCTGGGATCACCTGGCTCTGTTGCAATCACCTGGCTATTCTGGAATCACCTGGCTCTGTTGCAATCACCTGGATCTGCTGCAATTCCCTGGCTCAGGTGTAATCACCTGGCACTGTTACAATCACCTAGCTCTGTTACAACCACCTGGCTCTGTTACAACCACCTGACTCTGCTGCAACCACCTGGACTTGTTGCAATCACCTGGCTCTGCTGCAATCACCTGGCTCTGCTGCACAGCTCGCAGCAGCTCCTCCCGCTGCTTGAAGGCCGGTAGTCGCTGCCTCTGGGCCATCATGGCCTGGACTACTCGGGAGGACTGGAGGAGGGGGAGGAGGGGGAGGAGGGGGAGGAGGGGAAAAGGTGAAGGGGAGAAAGGGGGATGGGAGGGGATGGTGATGTGTGAAGAGGGTTCTTTCTTTAAAGCAAGCCCCTCCCGCTGCTTGAAGACCGGTAGGAGCAATGGTAGTTGAGCATTTCAATTACCACTTTGCCATTTGAAAGGAAGTGGTTTAGTTGACCACTTTGCCCCACATAAATTCCTTTCTTTCCATTCATCTCTTGCATCCTATGCAAAACTCCTTCTCCCTTCATATTCACTCATCTTCTTGATTTCTAACAACTTACTCTGCACCCTCACGACATGTGCTGATGCTGAAGAAACCAGGGAGTCTCGCCTACCTTGCGTCTGTTCTGCTCAGCCCTCAATGCATCGTTCTTCACTCTAAGTGCATGTGCCGCTGCTGATTCAGCTGCTGCAGAGGCCTGGGACGACAGTGCAGGGATTGGGAGGAGACCCGCTCCCTGTGCTCCTGCTGCTACCGCTGATGGTGCTGCTGCTGCTGGGGGAGGAGGAGGAGGAAGGAGCGAGGAGGCTGGAGACGTGTTGATGGAGGTCATGAGACACAGTGATCTGTGTGGGAGGAGGAGGAGGGGATTGGGGGGGAAGAGGATGGGAGAATGGCAGAACAGAGCAGGGAACGAGGGGAGGGAAAAGGGGGGGTGGAAAGGGACGGCAGAATGAGGGAGGCGAGGAGGCTGGAGACGTGTTGATGGAGGTCATGAGACACAGTGATCTGTGTGGGGAGGGGGGAGGGGAGGGGGGAGGGGAGGGGGGAGGAGGGGAATGGGAGGGCAGGCAGAACAGAGCAGGAATGAGGCGAGGAGGCAGGAGACGTGTTGATGGAGGTCATGAGACACAGTGATCTGTAGGAGCAAAAAAGGGGAGAAGGGTGGGGTGCAGGGGGTGACAGACAGGGGACAGGGGTGTGGATGAGAGAGGAAGGGACTGTAACGGAGTCTACAGTCACACTGCTCTGCTTGCCACCGCCACAGTTCTGCTGATGATGCAGCGCGAATGTAGAGTCGTTTTGAAAGGAGATCTTACCTGCCTCTCCGACCGCCCGTGCTTATCGTTCAAGTCAGCGCGGTAGCTAGGCAGAGGCACCCTGGTGGCCATTGCTACCTCTGCCTTTTGAGTCGACTCCACATTGCTGGTGGCCTTGTCATAAACAAGCAGAGCCAATCTGCGTAAAGGGAAGCAGCCTACCTGTCGCTCGGACCGCCCGTGCTTGTCGTCCAAGTCAGCGCGGTGGCTGGGCAGAGGCACCCTGCTCTGCTGCCCACTGTTGCCGTTCCATATTCCCAGCGCCCTTGCTTTGAACTGTCATGCTGAAAGTGATTCAACTTTGGGTGAAGAAACAGCCTACCTGTCGCTCGGACCGCCCGTGTATGTCGTCCAAATCAGCCCGGTAGCTGGGCAGAGGCACTCTGCTGGCCACTGCTACAGTTCAGTTCAGGTGACCTTGCAGCAAGAATGGCGAGTCAGTATAAAAGGGAATCCCACTCACCTGTCGCTCGGACCGCCCGTGTTTGTCGTCCAAGTCAGCGCGGTAGCTGGGAAGAGGCACCCTGCTGGCCACTGCTGCAGTTTCATATTCCCAGTGCCCTTGCTTTGAACTGTCAATCTCAAAGTGATTCAACTTTGGGTGAATCTACAGCTCACCTGTCGCTCGGACCGCCCGTGTCTGTCGTCCAAATCAGCGCGGTAGCTGGGAAGAGGTACCCTGCTTGCCACTGCAACAGTCCCGGTACCCTTGCCGTATGCTTGGCTGCAAGGGAGTGAGCAAAGAACGTGGAGTGGGGGTAACACAGTGATAATTTGTTTTCTTCACTTGGGTAGCTGGGAAGAGGCACTCTGCTTGCCACGGCTACAGTCCCGGTACCCTTGCCGTATGCTTGGCTGCAAGCAAGCGAGCAAAGAACGGAGAGGGGGTGACAGCAGTAAGGGGGTCTTTTCTTCTTCACTTTCGCGGGTGGAAAAAGCCACCCTGCTGGCTACTGCTACAGGTCCACCAGTGCCTTGCCGTATGACTTTTGAGTCGACTCAAAAGTCAACACACTTCCACCAGTGCTTGCCGTATGACTTTTGAGTCGACTCAAAAGTCAACACACTTCCACTAGTGCTTGCCGTATGACTTTTGAGTCGACTCAAAAGTCAACAAACTTCCACCAGTGCCTTGCCATATGTTCGGCTGCAAGCAAGCGAGCAGAGAACGGCTGGCTAGCCACTGCTACAGTTCCAGTGCGGTGCCGTATGTTTCCAGATTTTCACCGTGCTGCAAGAGCAAGAAAAGCAACAAGAAAGGTGAAAATCTGACGGTTCTACGATCCAGAGTTTCAAGGTTTTAAGTTAATAAGGTACAGGTTGAAGAATACGGTTTGAGGCTTAAATCCGAGTTCAGGTTTTAGGGTTTGAGGTTTATGATTGACTTTGTTCACAACGTCTTCTTTACCTCACGAGAACGAACTGCTTTCTCAGCCGAATTTCTTTACCTCCACACTCTCCCTCTCCGAATTTCTTTACCTCCCCACTCTCCCTCTCCGAATTTCTTTACCTCCCCACTCTCCCTCTCCGAATTTCTGCTGCGCGCTGAGAATATAATGTCACAAGACCTCACAAGACCTCACAAGAACGAACTTCTTGCTCAGCCGAATTTCTTTACCTCACAAAAGTACTCACAATGCTAATGGATTTGTAACTTTTTTTTTTTTTTTTTCTCCAAGCTCAGCAATTGCCTTGCAGTCCTGGCTGTTTTGGGCTCCTCTGAAATCACAGTCTCCTCTGCAGCACCCACGAGCACCGCTCTACACCACGTCAAACTCATTCCCACTCACTCACAACTACAGCCCCGCTTGCTCTGCCAGTGATTGCAATTACTCAGTGCCCTACCTCTCATAGTTCTCTCAAATCACAGTCTCCTCTGCACCCACGAGCACCGCTCTACACCATGTCAAACTCATTCCGATTCACTCACAAGTACAGCCCCACTTGCTCTGTCAGTAATTGCAATTACACAGTGCCCTCCCTCTCATAGTTCTCTCAAATCACAGTCTCCTCTGCACCCACGAGCACCGTTCTACACCAAGCCACAACCATTTCCATGCAACACCCATTCCCACTCACTCACAAATACAACCCTGCTTGCAATTGCTCCGTGCCTTCCCTCTCATAATTACTTGGAACCACAATCTCCTCTGCAAATCATGAGCACCGCTCTACACCACGCCATACCCATTCCCACTCACTCACAAGTACAGCCCTGCTTGCTCTGCCAGTAATTGCAATTACTCAGTGCCGTCCTTCCCATAATTCTCTCTAATCACTATCTCCTCTGGACTGCACCCATAAGCACCACTCTACACAACGCCAAACCCATTCCCACTCACTCACAAGTACAGCCCTGCTTGCTCTGCCAGTCGTTGCAACTGCTCCGTTCCCTCCTTCCCGTAATTTTCTCTAATCACTATCTCCTCTGGAAAACCCCCCCCCCTGCTGCACGCCTGCTGTTGCCCCAACTGCTCCATACCCTACTGCACCGCTCCCCACCGCACCGTTCCCCATTGCACCGTTTTCCACCGCACCGTTTACCGCTGCACCACCCCCTGCTGCTAGCTTCCGAAACCGTGCCGCCCATGCTGCGCCGTCCACTTTCTTTGCCGGGCCTCTCTGAAGGGAGGCGGAACAGGGGAAGGTGGAACAGGGGGAGGTGGAACAGGGGGAGGCCGAACCGGGGAAGGCAGAACAGGGGGAGGGAGAACAGGGGAAGGCAGAACAGGGGAAGGCAGAACAGGGGGAGGCAGAACAGGGGGAGGTGGAACAGGGGGAGGTGGAACAGGGGGAGGGGGAACAGGATGGGGATGTGGATGGGTATGGGGGTGGAATGGGTATGGGAATGGAAATGAAATTTGGGGATGGGGATGGAAATGGAAATAACACTCTCGCGTTTCCTCTCTTGCCTAAACACCTCCCTCTTCCATCCTCATTTTATTGCCTTCCCCCTCCCTCGCCTCCGTCATTTTTTCATCCTTCTTCCTCCCCTCTACCTCACCTCCTCCTTCCCCCTCACACGTCCTCCCCCTTCCCCTCACCTCCTCCCCCTCACCTCCTTCGCCATCGCCGCTAATCGCTCCGCGCGCCACGCCGGATCCCACCATTTCTGCTCCCCTCCGCCTCCCCCGCCTCCCCCTCCGCCTCCCCCGCCGCCCCTTCCGCCTCCCCCTCCGCCCCTTCCGCCTCTCCCTCCGCCCCTTCCGCCACCCCTTCCGCCTCCGCGTCCGCCCCGCTTTTGGCTGTTGGGCCCCCTTGCCCGCCGCATCATAGCGCGTGAAGATGACTCGCTTGAAGATGACTCGCTTGAAGGTGACTCAGCGCGTGAAGATGACTCGGCAACGGGCAGAATTTCCCGAAAGTCCGGATTCTCTTCAGATTCTCTTACCTCCTTGAATTCACTAAATTCCTGTAATTCCCTCAATTCTCTAAGATCTGAAAACGCTCTAGATGTCCTGGTGCGACCGGCGAGTGACGAAGATTCAGCCACGTGGCGGGTTTCCCTGGCTCCAGTCGAACTATGGTTCGTGCGCGATATAGGTCCCACACTGTCCACGCAAGCTACGTGCAATTGTAGAGCGCGGAAATCGGGAAGCTAATAACGGGGATGCGAGCCGTGAGGATCGCGATAGCGGCCTAGGGACGACCTTCGAGCTATGCTTGAAAAGGACGGTGCGGGTACGGCTGTAGAGAATGATCATAGACTAGAATGAGCGACTAAAACGACCCTGAACTCCGTCTTTGGCAACCTTGGGCCGACGGACCGGCGGAAGCGAAGGACCAACAAGCCAAGACGAGCAAGCTTGCCTGGGAACGGTTGCAGAGAGATCAAACTAGTTGATTTCTAGACACCGATATTGTCGAAAGGCGTGGAGAGGGCGTGTCCAGCCAGTGTGCTAGAAATGTTTCAGATTCACCATCACGGTTTTACTCGGTGACTTGCGTTTCAAGGCGGTAGTACGTCATGGAGGATCCAGACTGAAAGAACCGAACTGAACCGCATGTGACGAACACAATTTGAGCGCGCTGCCCTGACAGAGAAACCCGAGGTTGGCGGGAATTTTTCAGCCGCATTAATCCAGTTTAACATCTCCGTTTCCCAGAACTGAAGGCCATCATCTAGACAAAATTGTACAATTCCACTTATTACTTGGTGGGGCTATTCAGGTACCGGTAATAGCATCTTGAAAGTGGGGCTATCCATGCCGCATCTACAGAAATCACTGCTCCAATTATTTACACCAACCCAAGCGACTCCTATCCAATGCTACCGGTACTTACACTAGCATCACCGATGTTAACCACATCACATGGGAGCTTCTCTCAACAAGAAGCAATCCACATACAGGCCACTCTTCCACATCCCCGACTCCACCTCATGCAACCTCACCTCCCATTCCGTCTGCACCAATTCCCCCCCAAACCCTCCCCGCTTAATCCCCGGCCCTAGCACCACCACCCCCACCCCCACCTCAGTCCACCCAGCCCCCGGCAAAGTCGCATCATTAAACACCACCCGCCGCTGAATCTCCACCGATTCCGATAAATTCGCACCCGTAACCTTCACATTGCTGGTAACCAGCGCAGCCGGCCACTCAAACACCACATCCCGAGGCATCCAGGATTCTCCCAGGGTCGGATCCCGAGCCACTTTCCACCACAGCTCATACCTACACGATCGCACGGGCAGCGGCAAACTAAACCGGCCAATCAAATCGAACTCACTGACCGCAGCCAGATGTGCAACCCTAGGGAATACCGAGCCTTTACGCTGCACTTGGTGCCAGTAGCTAGCGTTGCTGCTCCATGCAATCCCCATGGCTTCAGTGGCGCTAAGGGCTGTGGTGATCAAGCCTGTGCCTGGGTCTACCTTCACCTGGACCCTGCCTGCATCTAGGAACACGCCCCGGCACAACGCTTGGAAGAGCATCTTGCTGGAAGGCAGCTTCAGGGGATCGGAGAAGCTGCTTTCGGAGAGAAAAGAGGATGAAAGAGATGCAGTTGATGCAGTTGATGCAGAATATGCAGGAGATGCTGCAGATGCGGTAGAAGCAGGAGAGCTGCGAGGTGAATGCCGGGACGGAACGGCAGATGTGGGAGCCAGAGCTGGAGCTGGAGCAACCTTGGGATTGTCAAAGGCCAGCCTTGGGATTGACGAGCGGTCTAGAAGCAGCTTCGGCGCGAAGGCGTGAGGGAGGAGGCGGGCCCAGCAGGTGTCCGAGGCAGCAGCGGCAGCCCATGCTTTGGATACTGAGGCGAAGCGGCAGATGGCGGTTGGAGGGAGGTGAGAGAGAATGAGAGCGATGCACTCGGGGGGGAGATGGGGAGGCGGTCGGGGAGGGGTGAAGTGGGGTGAGGAGGTGGGAGGGAGATTTGATGCGGTTGAGGTGGGTTGGGAGTGGTGGTGATGGGGATGGAGTGGTGCTGGTGCATCGTCGTCCAGAGATGAGGAGCAGAGACCCATGCTTGTGGATGGGTAATCGCGAGAACAGCTGAGTGAATGCTTATGGAGATGCTGTAGGGTCCTGCCGTGCTGCGGTGGTGGCGCTGATGTATGGAGCTGTGAGGTGGTGGAGATATATCCGTTAAATCTGGCGGGAAATATGTCGTCGCGGTTTGGAGGCACCTTGACTACTACAGCCTTAGTTCCTGCACTGTCATTGTCCAAAAAAATGAAAACAGAGCAGTAGCTGCATGCTGCAAAAGCGTTGTAAGCAGAAAGTTCTCCCTGCCTAGTAGCCTGGCAACCTGGCACTACGTCAGTCCTACAAACCTACAACTGAATATTACCAACTCGTACCAACTCATACTGAAGTCTCAACTGCCGTATTGCGACGAGTGTCTTCGTGCCTCAACGTTTTGACCTAAGTGCTCTTCGTGACTGGCTTCCGATTCGTCTCTTCGCGACAGCTCTAAACCGTCAGGAACTCCGGTTGAAGGTGGGATCTCTCATGGCTGTGAGATTCGTGGCAGATTGACTAAGCAGCTGTCGGTTTCTTTTCGTTGCCGGTAGAATACAAGGGTGTCTAGGAGAAACATGACGGGAGTGAAAGAGGAATGAATATCCAAGGCAGGGTAGAGGAGCAGGTGGAATGGGGGAGGAGGAACAACGCTGCCAGAAGGCGGGAAATGTGTTCTCGCTAAGACCTTGGAACTCGCTGGTGGCCGAAGTATACGCTGGTTATTTTGATTAATACTAATTAATAATAATATACGATGGTAATGGGACATAGAGTTTATTAAGTTAATCATGTCACCTGTTCAGAAATGTGGCAAATGAACCGGCCAAAAACATTCTCGTTTTGTTTATTGTTTATTTTCCACCTTTGAAGCGTATACTGTTACATGAACTTACTTCAAAAGTGTACTTTTTATTGAAAGGATCAAAACATCAATCATCATTGCGCTACAGCGAGGATACGAATCTAACCGCAAGTGTGTCCAACCATCTACGGCTATCCGTGATCGTGCTCGATCCGTGTGCCAACCATAGCAACCGTGTGATTGGTTGCTTGAAATGTTTCCCAGTTAGGAACCCAACCATCGTTTTGCGAGGTGAGACTTCGAGAGCTTTATAATCTGCTCAGCTGCAAGACTAGCTCAGGTGATACTTCAAGTTGCTGTACAACGTTAACTCCCAGCCTACAATCCTCTTGCCTTTCGAAGGTCGCGTATCAACGTAGCAATTAGCTGTACATAGCAGAAGCTCCTCTTTGCTTTTGTATCCAGGAGATAGTGCTAGCTTCAGTTATTATGGCTCCGAAGGTCGAGGGAGAGCAGAAGGCAGCAAAGAAGGGCCCAAAGAAAGAAGTTACAGCGAAGAAATCTCCAGGAGCAGGAAAGAAGCTTGCAGGGGAGAAGGCGGAGAGGAAGAAATCTCGGAAGGCCGTGACGGAGACGTACAAGATTTACATTTACAAGGTTTTGAAACAGGTAAGCTTCGCAGTTTCCTCCCTTGCCCGTCCACCGTTCCCTGTTGATTTGAGCACGGCTTACGAATCGCATGTGCGCCGTGTTCGTGCATGTGCTTTTCTCCATTGCAGGTGCATCCAGACACTGGCATTTCGTCTAAGGCCATGTCCATCATGAACTCTTTCATCAACGACATTTTCGAGAAGCTGGCGACGGAGGCGTCGAAGCTGGCTCGGTATAACAAAAAACCCACGATCACGTCTCGCGAGATTCAAACAGCAGTCCGGCTTACCCTTCCTCTGTCTGGCCATTGTCTGGCCTCTGTATAGTTTTAACCATGTTTCTAAGTTTTATACCTCAGCTCTGAAAGTAGCCGATGTTTTAGTTGCTGGTTTGTCCTGGTGGTTCATTGAGCACATATGCAGTGGGCACAGATCACCAGGCGGGCAACTTCTGGCTGGATCCAGACTATCATCAGATGAGACCAGTGGTTGTCAGAACAAAATTGTGCTGGATAACTTCACTATACAGAACACGGTACTTTCGAGACTTTACTGTAATGGCGTGCCATGGGAGTTCGCTTTTGCTCGAAATCCTACCCAAACGTAATAAGTCTATCAGCGCCGTCTTAACACGCGCAACATCGCTTCCCACCGTAATACACTGATCTCATGTGACACCCTAACAAGTTTTATTTCGATTTCAACTCAAAAGCACCCTGGAATCATCGGCGGGTGCATCTGCCTCCGTGAAGGTCCTTCGAAATTCGACAATCTGCGGTGCTGTTCGCCAGCACCATTATATCCAAAAACCACGGGATAACGACGGGATCAGGAAGGTGGGTCTCGCCTTCCTGATCCCGTCAGTTAGAGTTCGTTAACCTCCGTCAGCTTGGTCAGCCCGTGAAAAAAGTGCCGAGCCTCACCTACCGTCCAAACCAACAAACAAAGTGGGCGTCTGGCGAACGCCCACTTTTCTCCACCAAATCTAACAGTTCGACGGCATCTGGAAGCGGGGACGAAACTTCATTCCCAGGCAAAATGCCATCCCCTAGCCATGCCATCGTCATGCCGCGTTTTTCAAAGCACAGCGGTGGCACAGCCGACGCATTGCTGTTCAGAGGGTAACCCATTTTTCGTATACCCCCCATTTTTCCCTCCCAAGCACGTGGTGGCGGGGGTTGTGTTTGAGCGGGGTGTGTTTTATTTGCGTTTTTTACCCACGTTGAGCAATTTTTGGTCAGCGGGCAGCACAAGGGTCAGGGATGAGCAAATTTCGCGCCATTGCGGGGAAGGTGGGGATGGACCTTCCCGATGCGGTTGAGAAATTTCGCCTTTCGGGCGAGTGTAGTTTCTCGGGCGGCATTTCGCCCAGCCCTCGGAGGAGGGTTCCGCCCCCGTTTCCATATGCGGTCGCGATGCTGATGCCATCGTTTCCCTGTTGAAGAAACGATTTGCTGGCGAACAGCACCTGCATGTCCACCTCATGCTTCCACCTCCCTCAAGTGGTCCTTCCTGCTTGTTCCACCTCAGCTTCCAAGGGCGCTGCTTGTTCCTTGGGAGTTTGACCTAGAGAGCTCACCAACAGAGTTCTTGTCCAGAGTCCGAGCTATGTTTGGCCTAGGTACTGTACTATCGCCTCGGCCGTTCGTTTCCGTCAGCGAGACCTTTCGGTTAGGTAGATGGTTTAATCTGTCAGCTGATTCCGTTCCGACACTTGTCGTTCCATCAGCTGACCTTACCGCCAGTCTTGCTTGAAGAATGCTGAATAGAACTGATAGAACACCGCATGATCGATAGAATGCATATTGAACGATAGAACGTAACCAGAGTCCGCGTTTATCCTTTCCGAGTCTGCCACGTGTCACGACACTATGTTTTTGCCTAATGACATTCCCCCGTCGCTCGAATCAGCCCCAACCTTCCGCCCTCCCCCGGCAAACGAGGCCGCGTAGAGCGCAAGCGCGTACGACCTCGTTCCGCCGTCCCTCGAATCAGTCCCGACCTTCCGCCCGCCTCCCGCGGATGGCGCAACCTCACAGAGGCTTGGCATTCCACGAGGGAATGGAAAGGCTTCGGATTTAAATATTTCCATATCGCTCTCGACCAATTCAAGGGAGACTCAGGGCGGAGGTATTTATCCTAACGGGGGCGACTATAACGAAGATGATGACCGGGATGGGGTGTTATCCCCCGCTACTCCCACTTTCACCTCGTCAGGCGTGAAAACGATCCGACCTGCAAGAAGCCCTGGACACGTGGCACATCCTGAACCTTCGGCTGGTTTCAAGATTTCATCCGGCCCACACGATCCCCCCCACTCTCAACTAGATCTCACATCCGCTCCCCACAACCACGCTTCTGCTCCCCCCAGCCACGTATTTGCTCCCGCCAGCCGTGCAGTCCCCCCCGAACGCCCTCCGCGCAGCTCCTCCCGCGGCCCGCGCGACCTCTCCGCGCTCACCATCAGCTCCCCCCATCCCAGCAGCTCCGCGCGCACCCCGCGCGACCTCTCTGCGCTCACCGCGCTGCTGGAGCCTCCGCGGGAGATGCGCCACAGCGTCAGCTTCCGCAGCAGCAGCGCGAGCGGACCGGGCGCAACCCCCAGGGGGATGAGGAGCGGAAGCTTCCGCGCAAGCACCCTCCGCAGCAACAGCAGCAGCGGGGGCGGAGGCGGTATGGGCGGCGGGGGTGTAGGGTTAGGGGGAGGAAACACCGGTGGCAGGTCGTTTAGAAAAGCGTTGTCTTCGAGTGCGAAAATGTTGGACACTGTTTCTGTTGGCGAAGGCGTTGGCGAAACTGGTGCATATGGTAACCCTAGGGCTACCAGACCAGCTACTTCGTACAGTAAATCCCCCACGCGGCGAAGGCTTGCCAGCTCGCATGCGTCCCGGTCTAGACGAAACCTGCTACCACCAGCAGCACCAACAGCAGGAGGAACAGGAGCAGGCGCAGGGGCAGGAGCGGGAGCAGGAGCAGCAGCAGGAGGAGCAGATGCAGCTGGTATAGAAAACGGTATCGAGATGGCTGAGAGTGTTTTCCCTGAAGCTGACTTGATAGTTCTAGACGATCTAGAAGCTTTGGACGAGGACGGGGAGGAGGAGGGAGAGGAGGGAAAGGAGGGAGGGGACGAGGAAGCAGTGGGTGGTGGGGAGGAGAGGGGGTATCTAGAGGAAAGGGCGTATTTAGAGGGGAGCTACGAGGCTCAAGCTGCCGCCGCTGCTGCTGCAGTGGCTGCAGCGTCGGCAGCGCTCGCTGCGAAGTCTCCCCGGTTTACAAAGGCCACTCCTCGTTCATTCAACTCTCATCGCTCGTTCAAATCCTCTCGAACCCTCAAGTCCCCACGAGACCTCCGCTCCCCTAGACTTGCCGGTTCGTCCTCTTTCTCCCACTCCCCCCCTCACTCCTCGTCCCTCCACTCCTCTTCCCTTCACTCCTCTCCTCTCCAGTTATCCTCCTCTGTACGTTCCTCCACTCCCCGAGGCTTCCCCGCCCGCACTCCAAGGTCACTCCGAACCTCCGCCAGCTCCAGGTTCGGACAAGCCGAGCCTGATGGAGGTTTGGGGGAAGCAGGTGGTGGTGCTGACGGCAGCACAGGACTTGCTGACGACATAGACGACCTTGTGCCTGAATCTCCTGCCTCCCCTCGCACCTCCTCCTACTCCTCTTCCTCCCACCACACGCGTCCAAGATCTCCCTTCAAAAGTGACTCCAGCCGTGGTGACAGTAAGGGATTTGGCACACGTGACTATAACGAGGGAAAGGGAGGCCAGGAGGGGGTGCAGGATAAGGAGTCGGAGGAGAGTTTTCCAGGTACTCCGTCGTTTCTGCCCGAAAATTTGGGGTTGGAGAGGCCGGTCAGCCCGTTGAGAAGTCCATCTGCCCGGATGAAAGTTGGGGAAGGGGTAACGGCCGGGCTTCTGAACAGGCTTATGTTGGCTGATCCCTTGGGAGCAGGTGGGGAGGCAGGGGGGAGTGGGAATGGGATTGACAGGGAGAAAAGGGGTGGAAGGGCAGATGAAACACAGGCAGCTGAGGAGAAGGTAGAAGTAAAGACAGGAGCAACGGCAGAAAAAAAAGGGGAAGGAGAAGGCGGAGGGAAATTGGAAAGGGAAGCGGGGGAGGAGAGGAGAGGAGGAGGAGAGGAAGCAGAGGAGAGAATACAGCAGCAGCACAGTCAACTTCCTGGTCAGCAGGCTAGTCAGCAGCCTAATCAGCAAGCAAGCAAAAGGCAATATACAGGGGAGAGCCAAGGAGCCAAGCCCGCAGGAGAGCGTTTACCTAAGCAAGGCATCTCCATCGAGATCCCAACCAGCCCTGTAGCCTTCCCTCGGGCAGCTTCCGAACCTACAGCAGTTGCCGAAGCTGGTGCCGAATCTGTGGGTGCCGAAGCTGGGTACGTTTGGCTGGCCACCGAAGCTCCGCGCCGAAGCAGCTTTGATCTGGCGTCTCCTCTGGCCCAAGCCATGCTGCCTCGAGATGTTTCCATGTTCCTGGGAGAGAGTGAGGGAGTGAGTGAGAAAGAGAGTGAGGGAGTGAATGAGAGAGAAAGAGAGGATGGAGGCGTGCAGAATGTGAGTGAAGTGGAAGGGAGGAGTGAGAAAGGAGGGGATGGTTTGAGAGACGATGGGGGGGAAGGAGGTGATCAGGGAAAAGGGGCTGGAGAAGGAAGGGACGAGAATGGTGCTGCTGCAGATGCTGCTGCTGCTGCAACAGGCACTGACGCAGCTAATACTGTTCCTGCTAATGGTGTTTCCAACGGTATTCCGCCGAAACCAAAGAGGAGAAGCGAGAAGGGCGAGGGGAAGGAAAGAGGAAAGGAGAGAGAAAAGAAGGAGAGAGAAAAGGATAGCAGCAGCGGTGGCAAGAGCGGCAGCAAAACGCGTAGCAGAGCGAGCAGTAGGGCCAGCAGCAAGGGGAGTGAAATTGAGGTTGCTGTTGAGTCAAATGCGGTTTCTAGGTCTGTATCAGAAGCCAGTTTAGCTAGTACAAGCACTGAGAGACTAGTGGAAGGTGATGAAAGTGGGAGAACGGGTATGGGTGCAGAGAAAGATGGGGATAAGAAGCATAAGAGCAGCAGTAGCAGGAGCAGTAGTAGCAGGCACAAGGAGGAGCGTGAAAGCAAGAGCAGCAGCAGAAGCAGCGGCAGCAAGTCTAAGAGTGAGGAGAAAGAAATATCTCGACTGAAGGATAAGAGTGAGGATAAGGAGAAGAGACGAGGAAGAGAGGGGGGCGGTGGGAAAGAGAGGGAGAGATCGAAAAGCAAGGATAGGCATAAGGAGAAGAAAAGGGATGGGGTGGGGAAAGGGGAGGGTGAGGAGGGAGAGAGGGAAGGAGAGGAGAGGGAGGAGGTAGGGGAAGGAGGTAGCCGGAGCAGGGATGAGACGAAGAAGCATTCGTCTCGTTCCAGTAAAAGCAGGTCAGAAGGAGAGACGAGAAAGGAGCGGGAGGGAAGCAGCAAGGAAAGCAGCAGCAAGAGGGACAGCAAGAGAAGTAGTAAGGAAAGCAGTAAGGAAAGAAGCAAGGGGAGCAGCAGGTCGAGCAAGGACAAGGAAGCGAAAAAGAGCAAGCATGGGACTAAAGAAGGGAGGGATGCAGAGGGGGATGGAAGCATTGATGCTAGTATTGCTTCTGAGAGTGTGGGTGGGTCGAGCAGGCGAGCGGAGGTGGAGAGTCAAGAAGGAACGGAGAGGAGTTGTAGCATTGGGGAGGACGGATTTCACCCGGGTTTCTGGGAAACCCTTGCTGCTGGTGGCAGCACTGCTGGTGCTGCTGGCACTGCTGGTGCTGCTGGTGCTGCTGGTGCTGCTGGTGCTGCTGGTGCTGCTGGTGTTTCTTCTGATGGTGCTGACGATGGTGCTGTGGATGAGGAATCATCTACACGCATGCCACCTAAGACTCCTAGAACCCTTCTGGGGGGTTTCGGGGCTTCAGGGTTCACCAGCCGCAGCACGGGCAATAAAGACTCGCTCTCCCGACCGAGTACCTCGTCCCGACCCTCCACCTCCCTCTCCTCGCGCCCTGGCACGTCGTCTCGCAAGTCAGGAGCGTCAAACATGAATTTTGTTGAGAGCGAGTTTGACGCGATTGTGCACGAGTTTTCCCGGTCGAAATCGACTGGTTCCAAAGGGGTTTTGGCGGGGAGACGAGGGGGGGATGGGAGGAAGGAGGGGGGAGGGGTGGTGGGGGAGGAGGGGGGAGGGGAGAGGGGAGAGGAGGGTGAAAGAGAGGGTGAGGAAGAGGAGGAAGAGGAGGCGTATGGGAAGGAGCCGGTGCTGAGAGGTGAAGGAAAGGAGGGGAAGGGGGAGGGGAAAGGGGAGGGGAAAGGGGAGAGGAAAGTGTCAGCAGAAGGGGCAGCTGGGCGTGCAGCAACAGCAATGGCTGCAGCGAATTTTGAGGCGCCTCAAAAGAAAGCATCAGCAGGAGGGGCGGCTGGGCGTGCAGCAACAGCAATGGCAGCTGCGTTTCGCGAGACCTCTCAAAGGGCTGTAGCAACAGCTTCATTCGTGCCGCCCCCCTCGCCCCGTGTGCTTCGATCAAAGGTTGAGAAGCTGTGGAAAAGCTCGGGAAAAAGGGCACACGGGAAAGGAGGAGGAGCAGGTGGTAGCGACTCTTCAGATGTCCTTGTGATTTCTCATGAAGGGGAGGAAGAGACGGACCCAGTGGAAATGCTAAGGCGGGTGGAGGAGGAGCAAAAGAAGAGAGGAACTGCGGGCGCGCAGGGATGGGGTGCAATTGGGCATTTAAATGCGGATGATAGGAGGATGTTTTGGAGGCCTTCTTTGCCGCGGTTGGAGGAAGGTGACATGGACGAGGAGATGGTGTCGGAGTCTGAAAAGACACCCAAAGACCGTAGGTCAAAATCGTCTTTAGTATAAGTAGGTGGTACCGTAATCACCCGGACATACCACCCGCCGAAATTGTAGACCCCCCGGGTGGCTTGTGCGGGGTGGGTGTTATAGTTGACCCCGTTTGTACTATACCCCCCCTTTTGGGGTGATTTTTTATAACACCCCCTTTTTTACACAGAATGCCTTATTTTAGGTGTTAACGAGTATGTGCAATGACGGGGGGACATCGCGACGATAACTTTTTGCACGAAATTACATGGTAATTTCGAAAGTATCTGTTGGGGTCACCTCCGTCCCACTTTTTCACTGCTACCGTACCAAGTGGTAGTTCTTTCGTTATCAAGTGGCCAAAGAGGTGCCACCTCGCAACTTCAAGGAGGAGTCAATGTTGTCGTCGAAACTGACAATCTCGCTTCCAACTGTGATGCTAAACCAACCTTGAAAACACCCAAGCTGCCTATTTATAGAAACCCTTACACTAAAAAAATGTCATATATATGCACCCGGGTGGTATGTAGCTTTTTCCTATGAGAAGACCCCCCCCATTTTTTTGCTGTATTTAAAGTAAGACCCTAGGGTGTTATGTCCGGGTGATTACGGTAGTTGTTTGATTCTGTAAGGAATTTTCTCGCTATTCCTTACCGCGACCGTCCACATCGCGTACAGCAGCAGCCGTTGTTCACCCGTTACTGCTAACGGCTAACGGGGCTTCGCCAACTTCGCGCGCACTGTTTCACCAAACCTCGCGCTGCTGGAGCAGCCGAGTCGACCTACGCTTCGGGACTAGCCCGAACCTCGCGCTAGCGTAGCACTAGCTAGCTCGCACGCACCACGTTACCATTTGCACATTTTCGCGTATAAGTATTCGCTCATGCCTTCGCTCATATTTTGTACTCATTAAACACTCTAGTGCAATCCTCGCTACCTCGATTCATTGCACCCGTAACACTTGGCTATCAGAGCCACTTTCTTTCGGACCGCGCATCTCCGCACCCCAGGAAATCAACTTTTGATTTTTCACTCGAAGGGACTCACGCCCCTTAGCACCTAGGAGCCACTGTCCTCGCGTTCTCTCGTAAACGCGTGCAGCCACGACTGCGCCTAGACTAAGCTGAGCCGACGCCCTTCGTTATGGCTGAACATATCGACGTCACGACGCTCACGCAGGACCGTTTGAATTGAACGAGCTGCTGCGACAACTCCACGAAAGCTCTGAAGAAATCGCGGCACTGACGGCCGAACGCACGTCCCTGCAAAATGACGTCGCACGAGCACAGCAAGCACAATCACAAGCACCTGGCACTCCGGGACAACCTGCACCACAGGCATCACAGCACGGAAGTGTGGGGCAACCCGCGAGCGCGGCCAGTGATGGCGTCGTCCGCCACGACGGAGACGACGACCACGGCACGAGACACTCCGAAGCGACGAATGCGGCCAGGAGCCAGCCTCGCGTCACGATTTCGGCACCGACCAATGATTCGGCACTGCCGTCACCGATGCCACTGAAGCCGCAGCGTCCGCCATCATTTGACCCGAGTCAACGGGGTGGTCCTACCGTTCAGGCGTGGTTGTTCACGTTGAATGTATTTTTTTACGCCAACTATGTCTCGGAGGAAACGGCGAAGATTCGCTACGCTGTGTCACTGCTGTGAGGACCCGCCATGGTCTGGTGGCGCGTCATCGTCACGAAGCCGATAGACTACGCGACTCTACCGACACGGGAAGGGCAAACCGGACCCTGGGCGCCGTCGTATTTCGTAGAGGTGCCCCAATATCGCACGTGGGACGCGTGTGTCAAACTTATATGCTGTACATTGTGTAGTCTGTAGTGGAGTAGCCCATATGGGGTACAACACAACTCAGGGTTAGTACTTGTACTCATCCTGCTACTACTTCATTCCATTCTCGTTCGTAACTTTGTCATGGAATCAGAGCAGGTTCCTTGGGCCCACCACCTGCTACGCTGCTAGTACCCTCCTTGGCCCGTCACGCCCCTAGGCCCGTCGCGCCCCTTAGGCCTATCGCGCCACCTCACGGCCCCGCGGCCCCTTCGTTCCCGGCCCCTAGGCCCCGTCGCTCACGGCCCCACGGCCCCGTCGTTCAAGGCCCCTAGGCCCCGTCGCTCACGACCCCCCGGCCCCTTTCGTACCTGGCCCCGCGGCCCGTAGCTCACGGCCCCCCGGCCCCCTTTTGTACCTGGCCCTGCGGCCCGTCGTTTCAGGCCCCCTAGGCCCCGTCGCTCACGGCCCCGCGGCCCCGTCGGTTCCGGCTCCTAGGCCCCGTCGCTCACGGCCCCCCGGCCCCTTTCGTACCTGGCCCCGCGGCCCGTAGCTCACGGCCCCCCGGCCCCCCCTTTCGTACCTGGCCCCGCGGCCCGTCGTTTCAGGCCCCCCTAGGCCCCGTCGCTCACGGCCCCGCGGCCCCGTCGGTTCCGACCCCTAGGCCCCGTCGCTCACGGCCCCCCTGGCCCCTTTCGTACCTGGCCCCGCGGCCTGTCGCTCACGGCCCCCTGGCCCCCCCTCCCTTTCGTACCTGGCCCCGCGGCCCATCGTTCCAGGCCCCCTAGGCCCTGTCGCTCATGGCCCCGCGGCCCCGTCGGTTCCAGCCCCTAGGCCCCGTCTCTCACAGCCCCCCGGCACCACGTTTTCTGGCCCCGCGGCCCCACGTTTCTCGCCCCGCGGCCCCCCACGTTTTCTGGCCCCGCGGCCCCACGTTTTCTGGCCCCGCGGCCCTGACGAGCCTAGGCCCTACGCCCTGCGGCCCCCCACGTTTTCTGGCCCCGTGGCCCTGACACGCCTAGGCCCTACGCCCCGCGGCCCCCCACGTTTCTGGCCTCGCGGCCCCCACGTTTTCTGGCCCCGCGGCCCTGACGCGCCTACGCCCCTAGGCCCCGCGGCCCCACGGTTCCTGGCCCTGTGGCCCCACGTTTTCTGGCCCCGCGGCCCTGACGAGCCTAGGCACTACGCCCCGCGGCCCCCACGTTTTCTGGCCCCGCGGTCCCCACGTTTCTGGCCCCGCGGCCCCCACGTTTTCTGGCCCCGCTGACCCACGTCTTTCTTGGCCCCTCGGCCCCTCGGCCCCTCGACCTCATGTTTGGCCCCTCCGCATCGTGTTCGGCCCCTCGGCCCCGCCACCCTCGTGTTTGGCCCCTCGGCCCCGCCCCTTGGCCCATTGGCAACTGCTCCTGCAACTGCTGCTACTACTACTACTGCTGCTGCTCCTACTGCTACTGCTGCTCCTGAGTACTGCGCCGCTATGGCTATACTTAGAGTTCTAGAGTTCGATCATGAGGGCAGACCGGTTGCATTTGACACGTGGCACGACGATCTGCAACTGTACCTACTGAGCGATATTAAGGACAGTGTCTCACTGTTTGACCACGTGTCCGGTGTCGCTCCAGCCCCTCCCGCCACAGCTGACGGTGCGACTCATTCCCAGTGGCTGTCTCGTGATACTACTGCCCGCTTAGCCATTCGCAACCACCCCGGTGGCCGAATGTACTCACTTTGGACAGCACAGGACAGCACAGGCCCTGTACGACGCTGTCGTTGCTCGCTACTCCTCCCCTACTACTGCTGCTCTAGGCAGACTGCTACTGCCCTACCTGTTCCTTGAGCTGTCGGTTTTTTCCACCGTAGCGGACCTGGTTACCCACCTGCGCACCAGCGACGCTCGCTACCGTCCTACCGTCCCTACTGAGTTCCTTGCCACAAACCAGCCCCCCATGTTCATCACCCTCTACTTCATATTCTCTTGCCTGCCTGACTCTCTTCGCTCTATCAGTGACCACTTTCTCTCCCTTGACCTCACCTCCCTCACTGTTGACCTCCTCGAGCAGCATCTCCTCGCAGCTGAGACTAGTGCAGTTGCTGTAGGTGCTGCTCGTGGCACTCTGCGCCCGCCCTTCTTTGAGGGGTGCTCCCCCTCCCCCCTTTCCCCCTCCTTCGCCTCTGCTGCTGCTGCAGACGTCTCTGCTACTGAGGACGTCGGTGCTGCTTCGACTAGTGTGAAGCGCCATAGCAGCAACAGCAAGGGTGGCCGGGGTGGTGGTGGGGGCAGCGGTGGAAGTGGTGGAGGCAGTGGAGGTGGTGGCGGCGGTGGGACTGGTAGCTGCGGTGGGGGCTCTGGTGGCGGCGGTGGTGGTGGCGGAGGGAGTGGCGGCAGTGGAGGCGGTGGGACTGGTGGTGGTAGGTCTGGACCTCGGCGTGGAGGCCCTGGTGGTGGTCAGCGGCAGCAGCAGCAGCGTCGGAGCGAGACCCAGTCGCCCCAGCAGCTCCGTGAGTGGTTGGTTCAGCGTGGGCCGAGTGGGGGTAGTGAGAGCTGCCCGTATGTCATTCGCACGGGTGTCCGTGCGGGCCAGACATGCGGGAAGTTTCACACTGAGCACCGCTGCTTCTCCCGCCTTGACGACGCCTAGCGTGCTGAGTTTGGTGACGACGTCGAGCGCCCTCGCTGGGCGGAGTTGCTTAGGTCGGGAGTTGCTATCTTTGACCTAGACTATGATGCTATTATCTCTGCCATGTATGCTTTGTCTTTTAGTGCTGAGGGTGACTGTTACCGGTATGTGCCACCTGACCCAAGTATAGCGGCTGCTGCTCTAGGTGCTAGTGCGTCTGGTACTCCCCCTGGTACTGCGCATGCTGAGGCCTTGCACACCTTCACATTGGACTCCGGCGCCTCGCGCTGTTTCTTTCGTGACAGCACCACTCTCACTCCTCTCCCTGCACCTGTCCCGGTCAGACTGGCTGACCCCTCTGGGGGCCCGATCGTTGCCCGTTCCTCCACTGTCCTCCCATGTCCGGCAGTTCCGTCCGGCTCACTGTCAGGTCTTCACCTCCCCTCGTTCTCTACGAACTTGGTGAGTACCGCTGCCCTTCAAGATGCGATGGTCACTACCACCACTCCTCGGGGTCAGCGTGTGTCGATCTGCACGTGCACACGGACGGGGCCTCACCTGGCTACGTTCACTCGACGACCAGGGTCGAGTCTGTACACGCTGGCTACCGAGCCTCCTCAGGTCGCTG